ATGGTAAAGAAAAAGATCAAATTTGATTGTTTCAAAGACTTTTTGTGGAACCTCCCTTTAGATGCCCAGTCATGCAATGTGCTATGCTTAGTGTATGAATAATGTTACAAGGAAAAAAAATACAGAATTGCACACGATATGAAAGATTTCCAAACAAATTTAAATCCTTTCTTTCCTTATTTTGCTGTTTAGTAAAAGTAAAATAAATCAAAATCCAGCATTGAAATGAATCTAGGTATCAAGCATATCATTACTTCAATGCAAGAATGAATTAAAATGTACACAATAGATAACCTGTTCAGCAATGCTGGCTGCTTCAGCATATGCATCTTGAATATTCTCAGCAAGCCTGTGGAGGAATATATTTGATATTCCTCCTGCAGCAACAATAAACGGACCTGTGGCTAATGTTATCAATGCAATCTGCCAACAATTGATAAAAGCAATAACAAGACCACTGAAGAATGTTGCCATATTATGAATATAATTCCCAACCTGTATCATCAAAAGTCAACACACATTGTATGAAATATGTGTTGAGATAATATCCATAATGAGTAACAAATTTGCATAGGAGTGAATATACAGACAACAATAGCAGGACATACCTTTTCACTTAGAGCAGACTGAATGAGCAGCACATCACTCAACACTTGACTCACAATGTCTCCATTATTCCCGTAAGTATCAAAAAAACTCATATCTTGGTTAAGTAATACTTGAACATATTTTGATCTGATGACAGCAGTCTGCCGCTCTCCAGTAAGAATCCAACACGAAACCTCTATTAAACAAGAAAAATTAGTATTCAAGGAAACTTAAATTTAAGTTTAATAAGAAACGTTCCACATGATCAATTTACCAATCCAACCAGCAGCAAAAACTCCCCCGGCAATATAAACAATGGTTAAAGCAAGCTGCAGAAGAAACAAGAAGAAGTAAGCGTATAAGCCTTTTTTAACACCTGGTTCACAAACTATGTGCCTTGCAGAATAGTTAAATATGTAGTTATGATGCCATCTGCAGGTTTTAAAACATAAGCCTATTGTTCTTTGGTTGTTGAATCATGCTAAATAATGTGACTACTTTTCTTTTACATAATTGTTTGCACACCCGCTCACAACTGTTTAGTTCAATGTATCTGTAACACGTTTGAGTGCTAGTGTGATGCAAGACACACTAGCATCAAGAAAGTGTAACTTACTTTAAAGTTCCAATCATCTCAATTTAATATTATTTACTTAGTGCTACAAGTCTACAACAATAATTTATTGTTGTAATATTCTAAAGAATATACTTGGTTCTAATCGCTAAATTTTAAAAATTTCAGTCAAAGGTCTATTTTGGTAATTTTTGTTACTGGTCTTGGGTTGAACTCAGGCTTGGGTTGTTATGCAGATGATATGGGGCCTTAATTTGATATCTTTCCCAATCATAGAAAGAAATCTGGATTCTTTTGGGTTGTATTCCTTATCATGGAAAATAAATCATAACCGCCTACATAAAAGAAGTGTTAATGTATTATCCTTAATACAAGTATTACATTGATAGCACCCAAAAAGGGAAATGAATAATCAGTTTTATGAATAAAGAAAGAAAGCTGTTCCCTTCCAAGTTGTGTACTTGTGTCATGCAATCAAACCATAGGTGTGATGCCTAGATTTATTTTCTTCTGCTTCTCAGCTATTGTTCAACATTCTCGAGTTTTCAACTCTATCCAAAACTTAATTTGCATTTTTTATTTCCCCTAAAACCCTTCAAAGTTCAAACCCGAGTCCATATTCCTGCAGAAACCATTCATTGCGCACAAATAGCCTGTGAACTGACCTAAGACCCCTTCCTACCTAGTGCCTGAAAATTGCCCTTCAATTTTTTTTGGTACAAAATTACCCCTCCTGTAATATAACCCCAACGAAACTTCTACCAAGAATTCTTTTTCTATTGATTTATGTACGCTTAAGAGATTTAAAAAAAAAATTGAGAGTATTTTGAAAGGAAAGCTCCAGGTCCCACACTCAACCAAAAAGGGACACGCTCCTCTCCTGCATCAATCTCCTCTGTCATCGGGTGGAAAACCAGCCTCTAATCACCCACTCATAAAAGCCAGGCTTGATAAGAGTGAAAAACTCTCTAAATGCAAGTTCCATGTTTCATGTCCTCACCCCCTAACCCTTCTTTCTGGATTCCCAGTCTCCCCATTTTCTTAACACACTACTTATGCTAGACGAAAAACAACTTCTAGCATCACTCTCCAAATGCTCGAGTAGTGAAATTATTGATGAGAAACCTAATAAACTAACCATATTTATAGCTATTAAAGGATGGGCAAAAATATAACTGAAACAAGCACCGTGCAACTGTTGGTTAAGTCCCACACCAAGCATGAAACTTGAACTAAGTAGCCAACATTAAGTTTGGAACCTTGAGCAGAGTGCCAGTGATAAGCCAGAAAGTAAAACGAAACGACTTGGGTGATCCATGCGCAATGCTGCCCGGGACAAAGGACGGCGATCTAATAAAGGAGTACGCTATGCTATGCTTACTACTTAGGGTTATCAGTTCAGTTTTCAAGAACAAAAATGATAAACAGTACAATTTTTTTTGTACCGAAAGTTTTGATGAATGAATTATAACCGTTAATGAAATATTGACCTTTCCACCTTAAATTCAAACAACGGCCATGATGGATTGTGTGTTCTTTCGTTACAATTTGTGTAAAAGATTTCATAACTTTTAGCAAAACTCTTTCATGAAAAGTTAATGGCCCAATTACCTCAAGCTACACGGCAACCAAGGCCATAAAAACTACAAAACCAAAACAACTGTACAGAAGATAAGACTTCATTTCACTCTCTAAGGTTAGGTAAGCCAAAATCAAATTACCGTAAACTAATTAAAATCTAGAACTAGGGTTTCCATAGAAAAGGAAACGAAATCTGACCTCTTTGAACCTGTGAAACAACTCCTCCGGCGAACCTTGCTGCTGAGGAACCCGAAGAACCTTAGCAAAGTAGTGCAAATAAACGACGAGAGCGGTGCCATGAGCGGCGGCGGCGACGGAGCCAACTACCATGAGAAACCAGTCGAGTCGGTCGGCGCAGGCAAAGAGGCGAGAGAAAGGAACGGCGGCTGGCGGCGGCTCAATCTCCTCGGCCTCCTCAATCTCCTCCTCGACCTCCACCTGCTGCGACGCGGAGGTCTCGGCGCCGAGGTCAAGATACGGCGACGGCGACTCGGGCGGCTCGGACACCTCGGAGACTGGCGTGAGAGGCTGTATGTGAGGTGGGGACCACCCGAACAGTCCCCTGGATACCATCATCTCCGATCCCAGCACCAGCAACTAACTCACCGCGACACGCGCTGAATTGAAAGCAGATCGCGCTTCAATGCACAGCGGCAACTCTCTTTTCTTTCTTGAGAAAACGACGTCGTATTGAACGCCGCCGAGGTGGTTGTGTGGTGATGGCCCGTGTGTTGACTCGGTCAAAAAAGATGTACGTTACCTTTAATTTCTTCCTCTTTAGTTGAAAACCCCTTCTTCTTCTTCTTCTTCGCTTCCTGTTCTTTCTTTTATTTTTATTTTGGGGTTTTGGTTTTATGAATTTTGGGTTTTTGTTTCCAAGTGAATAATACAATAAAATACAGTGTGTGTGTGTGCTGTGAATTTCTGATGCCTTGCTTCCATGCATAGCTGGAAACAAAATATCCAACTCGGGGCATTCTCGTAAATTCATACGAAATCATGGTGTTGGTTAGTGTGTTAACAGCTGGATTATATGCCTGAAAATACGTTCATGCCCCTCCTCAGAGACGTTGGAGTGCCTTTTTCTCCTCTTCATTTCATCTCTCATGTAATTTTATTTTAATATGTAATAATCATTTATTTAATTCTTTTCTATTTTTAATTTAATATTCATTAAAAGAGTTAAATATAATTATGAATATATTTAGGTGATATTAATAATGTTAAATATTATCAAACCAAGTAGTGAATATTTTAATTTTGAAAAGTAAAATAATATAATAAAATAAATATATAAAAAAGTGAAATGAATTAAAAAAGTTTAATGGGGAGTGAGAGACTTTTCTGTGATGCCAGGGCATTTCATCTGTATCCTCCTTCCACTTTTTCCATCTCTGACCTTTCGAGGCTGGATTCAAGTGCTTTGCATTTTGGGTTTTTTTTTACTCGAATTGATTTAACTTGTTACAACATTTTAGAACAATTTAACAATTAAGATTCATTTATGTACACTTTTTAAGACAGTGGAATGGATTTTTTTGTTCATTAAGTAAAAGTTTTTAACTTTAGATTAAAAAATATATTGCTAACAATCTTGTGAATATTATAAATATGGGATTGGGAATCTACTATGAGAGGGCAAAGGAAGAGGAAAAGTAGTTAACTTTATAATCAAAGGTTAACTTTATAAACCGTTGTTATTGTCGGTGGGTAACACGCTGGTTTCAACTAACAACAAACTTGAGTGTGACATTTTCTTTACCCTGCCGTATCGGAAAACACCTTTTGAAGCTTTGCCTTGTGGCAAAGGGCCAGTTTTCATTATAAAATTAATTTTAACAAAATTAAACACTATAATTAATTTTACATTGGAGTATCAAATATATGTTTAGTTTATTTTAATCACAAATCTCGGATTAAAAATAACATTAAGAGGAAAAGAACAATTTTATGTGTTTGTCCAAAAGACATTAAGCCACGTAGTATCCAACACAGCATGCAAAGCTTACGTACGTAATTTCATGGGCAAACTACAAAGGCTTGCACTTTTACCATAGAAAATATAAATTTGACGCCAATTAGAGAGATATAGAGATTTCGGATATGGTAGCAACTAATATAGCAAGCGTTGTAATATTCATTAGAAATAGAGTAGAAAGCACCTCAATAATAAGGTAGCCAAACATGAAAACCAAAATGCCAAACAATCAAGACTTTTTGAAAATGATATGTAGAAGGTAAAATAATTTGAATCCATCTATGATCCTGTGTTGTTCTTGAGGAAAACACTTGTCAAAACCATCTTCGACTGCAGAGAAGCTTTAAGCAGATTGACACCCTATTAAGAAAAGACAATAAAAAGGCATTACCAATTAAACAAAAAAAGTGGGAAATTAAGTATAAATTTTGACACATAAGTATATATGCATATTCTAATTTAACCAATATTGAGAATTATGACACTTTTGCATATTTATAATAACGAAGACATATCACATATATATATATACATACCTGAGTCATACCCAACTCAACAACCTTTTCCTGCAAGGAACCAACCTCTTTGACATCGAATTTATTTAGTAATGTAATACTGGATATGGTTGACATGGGGTAGATGACTAAATCATCCATCACCATGTAAGTTACAACTTCCTTCACAAACCCACTTTCATTGGGAAACACATCTGCTGAAAACTGGTTGCCACATAACCTATTTCAACGTTCATAATATTACTGCACTGAGGACAACGAGTCCTGTTATCACGAGTAACATTATTAAAGTGACAAGAGCACATGTAAAATGAAGCTTTTAAGTTGTCAACATCATCATCGTCATCGTTTGCAGAAAGAAGGGCAGAGATCTTAGTTGAGGAGAAGTGTGCTTTTGGCTTCAAGAGAAGATCCTTGTGTTGGTTTGGTTGCATGTAAGTGTCGTTAAGGTTTTCAACACTTTGGTAGAGATTGCCTAAGCTACCAACCATGCCATTCTTGTTTAGGAGTCTTATGACACTACTAATAGGCAAGCGAAGCAAGTTAAAGAGAAAGTCTATGACTTCTTTCGATGCTTCAGCGAACAACACTTTCTCACGCTTTGTGTCGATGAGTAGTTTCAGGGTTAGGTTGGTGGAAGAAGAAGCCATGTTTATGAGAACAACGTGTGAGAACCATAACATATATAGGAACGAGAATATTCACTTATGGGACGATTCAAGAGGTTGCGGTTACACTAATATATTGGGAAGATACAAAAAATATTTGTAGAGTAAATTTATATTTATTGTAAGCTTTGAACTTAGAAGCTCCCTAGGCCATAGCATTGAATCGAGGTTTACCTTTATGTCATCAGTTATTTCAAGCTTTTATTTTAAGAATTAAAAATAAAAAGTTTTAATAGGTAATATCAGTACTGTTTTTAATTAAAATTTAATTTCAGCACTTCATATAATAAAAATTAATACTAAAAGTAGTCTTCAATCTTAATTCCTTAAATTTTTTCTAATATTTAATATTAAAATAACATTTTTATTACTTCCATTTTTAAAAGAAATACAGATTCTAAAAAGTGGGCTCATAGGAGTGTGTTTTAACATTTTTTTTTTTTCTAAACACTCTCTCACGCTTTGTGTCGATGAGTAGTTTCAGGGTCAGTTTGATGGAAGAAGAAGCCATATTGTTCATCAAAAGCTTAATATGTTGAATAAATGAGAAGTAACAATGTTTATAAACACACACACGAAAGGCTCCATTCATTTATTGTATGTATACACACGAAAGGTTTCAATATTAAATTGATTATATATTTATTGTGGGCTTGAAATTTGGAGGGTCCCTTCACTACCTTGGCCATTATTTCTCTCTGAATCAAGGCTTTTTACATTCACTTCACCAATGTTTCTTAAATTAGGAATGGGAGTGCTTTAGATTCCAGCAAGTGAAATGGCACGGGCAAGAAGAATCCCAGTTAAATTTGAAAGCCAAATCGTTGCAGTGGTGAAAGAAAACAAAGTTAAAATTAATAAGGAAACATAGTATAATATAAAGAATTAAAATAAAATGCAACTTCAGACTACAGTTAACGAGAAAGTATAAACTTAGCAAAAAAATATTAACAACGTAATTGTGTTCAGATCTAAACAATAAATATACCAATTTTTATCATATTTAGTTAATAAAACATTAAATATATGATTTATAACAAAATTTACAATTATAAAATATAATTTAAATATATTTTATATACATAGAAAAATGTTAACTTGGACCCTAAGAATTGAGATAAGTAACTGATAATATTATTCTTTAGGATGAAATTAACAAAACTCCTGAGACCCCGCGTTTTCTTAAAAAGAATCATAAAAAAATTAAAAAAGATAATACCATATTTGTAAGATTTAAATATTTTTTGTCGGTATATGTTTGTAATAATTTTATTTTAGTTCTTAAAAAAATTGATTTTAATCCCTGATTTTTATAAATTTAACATTTTTGTCTCCAGTAATAATGTGATTAAAAAGTTAATATGTATCATTTTTTGTATGTCACATTAACGAGAGGGATTAAAAGTGCAAAATTAAAAAAAAAAAAAGACCAAAACTAAAAAAATTAAGGACTAAAATTAAAATCTCACACAAATATAAGAACTAAAAAATATTTATCTTTTTGTAAAACAGGAAGAAGGCAAAATTTTGTAACACTGAATACTATGAATAGATGATTTCAGTTAGAGCTTTCTATATAGAACAAGCTAAAGCATTCACAAGTCCATTAAATTTGCATTTACAAACACAAAACAACTGAACAAATTTCATTTATTGAAATCAACAATAACTTACAATATGACTGTTGTCAATTTACCAGAGAGCTCTACATGCATTAACCCATTAGAATTCTAGCTCACCAGCCAGGCATAGCAGATAAACGTGAGTTACATTCACCACACTCTAGACGTAGACAGATGAGGCATACTGCAGGATTATTGCTCAAAGCATGAGCCTGGACCATCAGGAGCAGTTCTAGCATAAAAATTATTGACAGGAGCAGCAGGAACCCCCCTTCTATTCAAGAGACATCTGAAGTATTGCAACCGAGGCAATGCAGTTATGTTAATGTTTCTTGAAATAGAATCTCTCTGACTCCATAACCGTTCTGTGAGAAACACGTTAGATAATAAAAGTTACACTTAATTATAAACAAGAGGGTTTATGACTAAATTATCCAAGACATTTTAGACAAATAAACCACTTAAGCTTAAAGCACCTCCAAATCTCATTGTCCTTACCTGCTGCTGCTGCAGCTCTTGGCCATATTGTTTGCTGAACATCTGATGCATCAGCTGTTTCACCCCACATGCAAACTTCTCCTCCAAGTACAAGTTTTTGTTCTGAAGCTTTCTGTATACCTTCTAGTGGCTCAGCAGTGTACACAGCATCCCAAGGTACATCTAGATGGTCAAGATACCATACACCTTGGTTACTGAAAATACACCTGAAACCTTTTGCAACAGCCTTTGGACACACACCAGGACCCAACCTACAGTAATTACTTTAAATACTTTATTCTAAACTGAGATATTTGAGTTTCATACAAAAGATGGAAACTCACCAGTTATGCACTACAGTCTTCGGATGGAGCTTAGTTGGGAAAGTATTGAAGGTTTCCTCCCTGAGAAGTAACATAAAAAAGTCACATCTAAAAAACATGTCAACATGTTAAGAACATGATTCGTAGTTTTGTACAGAAGACAATAATATAAACATTGTGCTGTTTATGTGCATGCAAACTGCTACTGGCATTTGAAATATTAGAAGTGATATCCATTAAGGATCAATCAAGGGTATAAATGAGTTTTGATGTTATGATGCCACATGAACACAGATCATACCAGTTTACTGGACTCCAATTTTTTGATAGAGCTATGTTTTGAGCCTTCAGTACAAAGTATTGATAGGCATCGTTAGCAGTCATGTTGTGGTTCTGAAGCCTGCATTGGACATATAATCAGGTCTGAACAGTGTGCCTGATAGATTGAAAATCAATAAAATGAATAGATCACGATGGCTAATTTTCGGAAATTTGACCACCATTTTAAAGCTCAAAATAAAACAGTTAGTGGTTGTGGAAAAAAAAAAGGAAGGCTGAAATCCTCTGCATGCATCACGAGCAAATAATCCCAAAATTTCACTTAATTCCAAAGTTTGACAAATGAAGTGACTTGCGTACAGCAATGGCAATCCCTTCTGAATTACTTTTTCTCACCATCATATTTGAATAAAAACATTTACTTTCTATGTTGAAGTTCACATTTTGAGTTTTATCAGAATTTCCATAGCATTTTATCAGAATTTCCATAGCATCATGATATTTCAATGCCATTAAAGCCCAAGGCAACCAAAAAACATATGATAATGTAATGAATGAGTATAACAGATAAGATTTGTACCATTTCTTCACTTGAGTAGTATTGCTCCAGCAACCTGTCAAAATAAATAGTAATTTCTTATAAATTAGCATATATACAGAACAGCTTAATATTAATGTTTATGTGCTAACAATCAATATGACTTTTGGGCCCTTGGTAATAGCTTAAGCTTTTAGTAGATCAAATGGTGCTTTGGCAAGTTCCAATAAGAAAGCCACATACTAACCTGTATCCACTTCATCACCACCCAAGTGAAATAGTTCAAATGGGAATATTTTTCTCATATCTGTAAAAATTAGAAAAGGAGTTAGATTATGAAATCATAGTACGAAGTACCAGGGGAGGAGGATAGGGACATAACTCGGGATGGTCAATGGCTAGTGCTGACACCCCACAAGACCAATACGATGATTTTGCAAGAAAAAACCAGGGAAAAGGCAGAACAGAAGAAGAAATAAGTTAAATATGCAGATTAGTAGATTGATGCATGTTTATAGGAACTTCACCTGTTAGAATACCAGAAAGGACATCAAAAGTAAACTTCTTCGAAACATCAAGTGGCTCCTTACAGGTGGGTGATGGCCAAAGATCAGGATATCCAACACCCCTAAACAGAAACAAAAAAGAACAACCTTAATACATTTCTGAGGTACAATATCTCTACGTAGAAGTATTAAATATTAGGAGAAACCAATTGAAGTCCAAATTTGTAAGATAAATGAATGCTTGAACAAAATTGAATCAATTCCCAGCTGTAATAAACAAAATTGAAAAGTTTATGTCGATCTATTTGCTGCATAAGTTGAGAACGTACTATATTCAATCCATAACTAGAAAGTGTCAAATTTTCTATGGTAAGCATAAGTCTTTCTTGAAATAGGTATTTATAATTTGTAAAAGTAATAGAAATTTTGTGGGTTTCATGAATCATCATTTTCATGACATTATTATTATAAAGGACCATGACATATCAGCTTTACCATGATGCTGCATGACCAGGAACATCCACTTCTGCCATCACATTTATGCCTGTGATAAACCAAGCAGATATACTCATTATCTTGCAAGAAACTGAGCAAGAATGAAGGTATAAAGGAACATTAAAAAAAAAAACAGAAGAAATCCAAAATTATGACCAAAACTGCAAAATGCTCCAAATAATATGCAACAGAAACTTGAAAAGGATTAGAAGACACCTCACCTCTCATTTTGGCAAAGCTTTTATATCGAGGCAAAGTAAAACATGAAAAGAGAACACTGTATTAGTTCGCATTAGAATAAGAAAGCCAAATCAAAGATGGTAACTGGGAAGTAACAATTTAATAAAAGGCATGGATCAATTGATCCTGATGCTATAATATTATTTTGGGATTACAATATAGTTTCCACTCTCTTCTCCTTACCCGAGTTTTTAATACAATTTTTATTTTGTCTAAATTTACCAGATCAAAATTTTTTAAGATTACAAAATTAGTAATGAACTTATTATACAATATTTATAGTTGCAATATTCTATGCAACTAGATAGCTTGAGGTGAAGAAGATCTCATCAGAGAAAGTTTTTACAACTTTTTCCTGTTGGTAAATCGCCCTCGCACATTATGGAAAGAAAGCCAACATATTTTGGATGATTTCAAATAAAAAACTAACATATTTGTAGGAGATTGAATAAGGTGATTCTTACTGGACAATATCATATGCATCCTCTACTGTGTAACGTTCCCACTTTGTGTATGAACCTTTCCACAAATTTGGATATGTAGGTACTTCAAGAGGAAATGATTGCTCGTCTATAATGTGCCAATGCAAAACATTCTACCATGTACAGTTTTTAATATCAGCATTGCATGAAAGAAAATAGCATGGTATGCTAGTTAGATATGCTTCTCTTGTTTTCATCTATCATTAACAGCCTGGAGGAAAGAAAAAAATAACTTATGGCATTTATCTTACAAGTTTAGCATAGGACATAGATTCAATTATCTGCTTAATTACATCAACAGGTAAATAGTGCCGTGATGTATCTGCAAAATAAAATAATAATAATAATAATAAAAAAGATAAGTATCAATAGAGCCTTAGATCATACCATATCGCAGAATATAGAATAGACTTTCCTCATTTACAAAATCTTGGCTTACCCAACATAAGCCCACGGTATGGAAATCTAGGTTCATCCCGGATGGACCAAGGTGCCTTGTATATTTGTACTGTTTTAGTTGTGTAATCGAAAGAACACAACTGGCTGAACGTCTGAGTGCATCACAAAAATGGAAAAGAAATGAAGGAAATAGGTCATGCACAACCCAAAAAGGAATTATAACTATGTCAGTCATTTAGAAAGTAGTCAGTAGTCATTTCTGAATGCACAACGCATATTGATAAACACAATAAGAGCAATAGTTCAGTTTTCATTTTCAAGGTAAAAATATATAATATAAATACAATTAAGTTTAAGCAACTTACTATCTAAATTCCAATAATAATACATGTTAGGTTGCACAATTCCACAGTTTAAAGAGTGAAAATACAAAGGTATTAGAGAGAAAGAATTATATTCTTTCAAACTGCCGATATCTTAAACAGTGCACATGAACAAAACAGATATCGGATTTTGCCAATTATATGGAGAAAACACAAACCTAAATTATGAAAAATGAAGATTGCATAAAAAGTTTTGAAGTTATTTTAAAGAGTAAAGGCAGAATTTATCCAAAAATATAGAGTATCTGCAACTCCTTTTATCATGTGTCAGATAATGCCCTCAAAGCATTACAAGTTTAAGCTATAAACAAGAACAAACTACTCTATTCACTGATCGTTATTTCCTCACAATCTCTTGTTCCACCTACCCCTCCTCCACTTCAGGAATGTGAACAGCAAAAGGGGCAAGGGAAAAAAAGTTTGAGCTGGTTGAGTTGCAAACTCTATACATACCTCTAATCCACGCAATGCACCAAAAACAGTATTTGCCTGCAATAAACAAAATCACAAAATTAGATGACTAACGGTCATTTAGAAATGTCTATTATTTAAAAATAATAATAAACCACGTATTGCAATTTTGTTTGTTTCGGTCCATTGACCATGAGAAGTAAAGCACGAGACCATCAGAATGTTTATTTGTTAAACAATTTGTTACCCCATAAACAAAACACTCCAATCAGCAAGTGTTTGACTAATTTACAATTGCTAGTATGTGACATCCTAGATTAGTCTTGAATGATTGGTTGAGTTGTTCATGGCACCAAAAATTATGGCATAAAACAAAAAAAAAAAAAATACTTATATAATAGAAAATCACTTTCAAACTTAGAAAGGGAGAGGGAGCAGCAAATACTTGTGAGTTGAAGTACACGACAATATAATCTCATTGAATATCCTAATCCAATAAAAAAATAATCCTATTGGTCCCCGTGAATCGCACCATGAAATTCAAAACAAACCATACCTCAATTGTGACTTCCCCAACACCAGAATGCACCTCAGCCCTTGAAACGAACAAATTATAGCTTTCATCAACTCCAAGTTGAAGCTGCAACAAACAAATTCCCAATCTCAAAATCAAAACTTGATCAAAACTCACAAAAGAAGATGCAAAAGAAAGCATAAAAAGCCCACCTCCTCACTGTTTGAATTCACAGTGATCTTCAATTTGGAAACATCAAAAGCAGCCCTTTGTGTTCTGAGAAAACCAAACCTGTCACTGTTCTTGAACACAATCCCTTTGTACCTAACAAAAGCAGCTTGAACAAAGGCAGAGGCAGCACCATTGCCAGAGAGAGAGAGTGCAGGATCAACAGAAAGAGACTCATTGCCATAGCTGAATCTCGCAGGAAGAGGCCAAATGAATGGCAGAGACTTAAGAGGTTGTTGCGAAGTTCTGACCCCAAGAGCTTGAGAAATGCAGAATGCACAATAAATGAAGAACAACATATGAACTGTTGCTGTGAGCCACGTGGGTATGCACAACAACCCCATTGCTCTGTGAAGACTTCGAGCTTTGACACAGAGAAAAAAATGGTTGGCTTTTCAAGCACAAAGATGCATTAAAGAAAAGGTAACTGAGTGCAAACGTGGTTATTGGAGTAGTTAACCTTAAGAAAAACTGAGGTATCTGATGCTGGAAGTAACAACTATAGCCAGGTAAGAATCAATTAATGTACACTACAGACAATAATGTCTTATAATTTAATGAACTATTTTATCATTTCACGGAACATGTCAGATTCTCTTACATTGTATAATTACAAAGAAAAACTCCTTTTCTTATGCGTAAATAAAAGAAAATTGTGCTTACTAACTTCAATGTCATGTTAAGGTAATTATTACATGTCTTTTTTTCCCATTTTTTAATGTCTATATGCGTTGCATAACCGCTTTTGTTTATCTTTTCCTATTAAAGAAAGTCAAGTGCGCAACTCAAATAAAGAAGCATAGTTGCTAAGGAAAAGCCTTGTAATTGTGAGCTGAAAAATATGCGAATGTGTGTGGTGAGGACAAAAAACGTGAATGCGAATTGTGGATCACATGCAGAGGCAAACATTAAAAAGAACAAAACGCAAAGGGATTCAGAAAATAAGTTGAGTCACATGACATTATCTAAACGGTTGAAATTATTTAATAACTGGAAATATTATAATAGGGTGTTCACTTCCCAAGAAAATCAGAGCAGATCTCGATCCATAAATAATATTAGATGTTAAGTTTAATAAGTAACTTTTTTATCACAAATAAATTTTATCAATTCAATTATTGTTTTTGTGTTATAATTATAGTGATTGTGTATTTATAATTACATATAGTTTATATATTTCTAAATATATTATCTAATATTCATTGTTTATTTATATTTTAAATAACATACTATATAAATAGCAAATAAAGTAGAATAATGAAGTATTAAATAATTTTTTAATTATTTTATATTTTATGAAAATATTTAATTTATGATGATTTTAAATTTAATAATTAGATTCATAAAATATAATATTTAATAGAAATTTATTAATTGCAACATTTTATTAACTTTTTATCTTATTTATGTGTGGATGTAGTTATCAAAAAAATATTTAAATTGATCTCTAATATATTTGGTGTGGATCACGAGTTAGCGTGTGATGATATAAAAGTTTCATATTGATTCTTAAAGATCATAAACAATCTTTATATTAGTTGTTTTAAATGGGACAATTTAGTTGACCACTTCAAAGAGATTGAATTTACACTTAACCTCTCTTTATTTCATATGAACGAACATAAAGATAAAAATAAATAAATTTTGAATTAAAAATAGGACAACATTTTTTTAATTTATATTTTTAAGAGACGTTTTTATCTCTTTTTTTCTGTGTTTTCTTTTAAAACAAATAAAAAAATTATTATTATTCATATATTTTTGAAAAGAGATGTAACAATTTAGGGAGACTCTTATTATTGTCTTCTTTTTTTCCTAGAATTATTATTGTCTTATTTATCCAAACTGAAAAGATAAAATATATGAAAAGACATTGATATGTTTGATATTATCGTTTTTGAATATTTAAAAAATATTTTTTGATAAAAAAATATATACTTATAAATTATATATTTATATTAAAATTATTTTATAATAAAAATCACAATTAAGTTGAAGTATTGACAAAACTTTTGACATAAATAATTCATAATATCATAATATTTTATTCTTCAAACATTTTTAATAGCTAAATATTATTCTCATATAATACTCTTTAACTTATTACAATGACTTATAATGTAATGGTAAATCATTCATTAAATTTTCAAAATATTAATATCAAACATGAAATTTTATATTTATAATTTTAAACTTTTAAAAATTTAGGAAACTAAATAGTCCTTAAATAAATTTAATTTTTTTTTAAAAATCTCTTTTTAAAAATACAAACAAATATGCTCTTAATTTTTTATAATACATTTTGCTTCTTATATATATATATATATATATATATATATATAATTAAATAACTTGAAGAACATAAAAATTAAATAAAATTAATTCAAATTTATAATTCATCAAAATTAATTTTGATATTAAGCATGATAAATCATTTTTCTTTCTCACGTAAATCAAACCTTGGGTCTATGACGAAACAATTATTGTTCTAGCCATTGTATTCTCAGTTCCGTGACCCAACATGTCATGTTGGTATAACTTTTTACTTTTTAGACTTCATCATTCTATTTTTCTTTTTAACACAAGTCGCAAAGCAAAGTTTATGGCTTAAATTGCCCTATGGTAACACTATCATAAAAAAAAATTAAAAAATATAAGCAAAAATGAAAAAAAAATTATTATAATAACTAAATAATCGTTTTTCATAATATTTTGTTATTATTAATAATGAAATCAAATATATAAAAGTGTCTTATAAATTAAAATGACATTCTATAATTTTATAAGTGAAACAATTATCAGTATTAATTTTAAATTAATAAATTAAAATTAATAATGCATTTATAAAAAAATATAACTTTTTAATTTTAAAATATTAAAAAATTACTACAATTAATTTGAAGAAAAAATAGAATATTCACTTTAATTATAAATGGGAAAGGTGCTTACTTTCAAAACTAGTGGGTGAGCTAAAAGGGAATGGATGGAACGAGGTTGCTGAAAGTTGAATTGGTTGAGATAAAGTGTCTGGATGAAACATGTCCTACGTTGTTCACCAATGAACCAAACAAACATTCAGAGGAACCAACACTTGTATCAACTATTTATTCTATCCAATACATAAAATAAAAATGGATTATTTTTAGTTGCTTTAAATTAATCTACTGATGTTAATGTTTTTTAATTTATTATGTTCTTAAATATTATATCAACATTCTTTTTAGAATACATTTTTTAATTTGTGTTTTAATAAATACAATAAAAATTTCAAAGTAAATTTTTTTATTAGAAACAACAATATTTTATGGTACTAGTATATAAACAAGTTAATTTTGATAAATGTTGTTCCTGTAGAGGATATACTTGTCTGTTGTAATTTCTGTCTTTGTCTTTTGTTATTATGTTCTTGTCAAATATTTTAAATTCTTGAATATAACAAAGAAATATATGCAAATACACTCTAATGGTGAAGTCAAAGTTTAATATAAAACAATAAATACTATTAAATATTTTATTTTATTTTTTATCTGTTATTCTTACTTTCCTTTTATATGTATGATATTGAACTAATGAATTTTAATAGGTCAATTCTTCATTAATCTTCTGATTGTTTGGATGATTAACTTTTAATTAATTACCTTAATTAACTTGTTAATTTATTTTGATGTAACTGAAGAAGTATTGGTACTAGTCCAAAAATAAAGCTGAAGAGTATGAGTACCCTTCATCTTAAGATGAGGTTGAAAGAGTATTTAGTTTTTTTTTTTTTTTTAAATAATAAGTAGTATGCATTAGATTGTTTATGCAATTGTATTTGTATTTTCTTTTCAAATATAATTCCTTAATTAAGTTAAAACAATTCCTTATCGTCTCATCTACGTATCATCTTTTTAATTCTATAATTCAATTTTAAATAAAAACGACATTAGATAAATTTACTTAAATTGCTATTTTCAAAATATTTAAAGCTCAAAACGCTCAACCTTAAAGGAAATCCAAAGAATTATCGTTCTTTGTTTTGTGTGTTTTCAAACAATTTTAGTTAATGATCAATGAAGCATCGCCATCACCATTTTGTCATATATTGACGTATCGTGCAACCGAATCATTAATGTTTCATGAGATGACTAATTCCCTTTTTTTTACAAAAAAAATAAATAAATTAAGTGTCTGTTTGATGTGATTATACTTTTTTTATTTTATTTTTTAAAAGCAAAACATGTTTAAATGAAACGAATATAAGATAGTTGAATCTTAAATTTTAACATAAAAATATTTTTATTTTTAAATTGTAGTTATCACTGCCATAATCACTATTACTATTATTATTGTTATTATTATTATTATTATTATTATTATCACTTAACTTTGAGATAATATACATATGATATCTTGAAATTTTTGGAAACAAGATGATGATGTGCTAGACATTGATATAGAAAGCAAGGAAAACAAACCTATAAAATAATGACTTGAAAATGATAGAAATGGGGATGCAACAAGGCTAGTAAGATGAACGGTTGTCATTAATTATGCAAAGGTTTATAATAACGGTTTTAAATAAAATTGCCTTCAATTTTATCTATTATTGTATCATAAATTTTGTTCTTAATTTAATTTTTAAATAAGAATATTTTAAATTGAACAATTTATTGTTAAGTTTTAATTGTTGATAAAATGAATTTTAACGTTATTGTATCTTGATTCCAATTAGACCCAGTTTTAAAATTTGTATACAGCATTTGAACTGTCTTAAGTTAAACACATTTTCATAATTTTTCTTCAATTTTCAATATTTTATCTCTTTATTTTTTCTTATTTAATAAATACAATATTTACTTATAAAACAATATATAAAAAGTTAGAGTCTTAGAGATGAGGGATCTTAAATTCTTAATGGAAGAAAAGATAAAAGAATTAAAATTTAAAGGATTTGAGAAAAAAAAAGTTAGAAACAAAATCAAATAAAAAAATAAAGAATAAATTTAAAAACAAATAGATTAGGTATAATATGTACATAGAACGGCAAAAAGAAATTATTAATTATTGTTGTGTTTACTTTCGTAAGCTCAATTATATGATACGGACTCATTTCCTCGTAACCTTCCCAATTACTATTTTGAGGGATAAAATTAGTGTTTTCAGAAATATATTTATGTTCTGTCGGATATCATAAAAATTAAAACAATAATAATAATATTGTAAACGTGTTAGAAATAATTAATAGTAATAATACTTTTTATTTTAAATTTTTAATTAATCTTCGATCTTAAAAATATGGTTTAATATTTTTCTACATAGTGTATTCTTGTTTTATTGAAGATTTATGTCTAAAAATTAAATATACTTATTTTAAAAAAATTTAAAATATATATATATATATATTTTTTTTTTCTCATTCTAAAATTTTTTTACATACATAAAAATTTAAACTCAAAACTTTGTTTAAGTAATAAAAAATCACTTATTATTTAAGACTTTAATTAAGTAATACTATTCAGATTAACTTCTGTTATTATTATATAAAACATATAGAATTTATAACGAAGAGTACGAGTATTGTTAGTATATTTATTAAAAAATTAAAATTAAATAAAATTATTTTATTCATGCATATCAATTGTTTAACTATTGTTTTTTAATGTACTCGTTAGCATTAACTTTTATAGTTTTCTTTTAAACGTGAATTCTTTCACTTTAAGCATTTCTATTTTATCATTTTGTTATTTTTTTAGTATTATTTCTAATTTAGATAATATCAACTTAATTATCTAATTTTTAATAATATCAAAACTTTTTAATCTATTAATTTAAAACTTACAAATTTGAAGCCTGTAACACACGAAAATAAGTTAAAAATTATTTTACACAATCCATTCTCATCTTTATTCTGTAATTTTAAAATCTATTTTTTTAAATTTTTACTTAATAAAAATAAAATATTTATTCTTGACAATAAAATATATCATTGTACTTTTTTCAAGACACATACTTTTGTTATTACTTAATTACAACAATTCGTACTTTTTTATTTTAATTTATGTAATTCCTCTAGGCCATAAAATATCTTTGATCTTATTTTATGTTTTTATTTTAATTATAAAGCTGTCATTTTTCTTATATTCTATTTCTTATTTAAAAAACTATACAAACATGAAAAAAAAAAAAGCATAATATCAATTATACATAAAAAATAATTCCTAGCTAGAACTAAACATCCCTTGATTATTTTCAGCCGTTGCCTTCCACACTTCCTGGATCCCCTGCTCATAATTACTTGATAGATTATTTGAAGATGAGGAGCAAATGATCAAAGTTGGAACTACCACTCTAGCTAGGGAATGCTCCACCAATGAGTGAATGGCATGTCAAGGCATGGGCAATTTTTGGATTCTGGCACATAGGTGTAGAATTATTCAAGGGTATTGACACCCTCTTTGTATTATATACATTAATGATTAATCACAAAGGTTTAAGTTTGAAGTAAGTGTGTGCTATCAATTGATGATGTGGGTTTGTCGTTTTGGAGGACTTGTATGTGGGGATGTCCTACAAATCACGTGGAGGGGGCAACCTCTAATGGCAATTGTACAACAATGGTCATTTACAATCTCCTCTAATCCCCTCATAGCCAATTATCATTTATCTCTCACGTGGGACTATTGGTCCCACACCCACCACCCTCTACTTTTCATTCTCTTCTTCGTCTCTATACGGTCTCCATATAACATTTTATTTTTGCACTACTAATTCCATCATCATTCACTTGCATTAATTTTTTATGCACACCTTGCTACCTAGCTACTTGCATACTGCTAATAAGTGCAAACCCATGTAGCTAGATTAGATATATCATGGGAGACTCTTCTAAATCTTCGTCTTCTTCATCGTCATCTTCTTCAGCTTCATACATTCATATGGTACTTATATTATTTAAGTTCTTTTTTGCTTGAATTTGATTTTTAATTTGTGGGTGACTGTTAAATCATGGCCTCTCGATTACCTCCGTGTTGACGAGTTTATATGAAATATATATAGGTGCAGCACCTGATCGAGAAGTGTTTGATCTTTCACATGACCAAGGAAGAATGCATGGAAGCGCTCTCTAAACATGCAAATATTAATCCTATTATAACATCCACTGGTATGATCTTTACTCTCTGTAAAAAGCTATTACATAAAGCAAAAAGCATGCACACACATGCAAGATCACGGAGTTTCCAATTGGCGTGCAAAATTCGGGAGATATAATCATCGAGATAATATATTCGAATAATACCTAACTAGTTATATGCCTCCATGTAGGTCTCATACTAGCTTTTGAGTTACAAACCCTATTTTAATATATGAATTTGATCAATTGAGAATTTGCCAACCAAGTGAGAGCTTCTTCCTTGATCATGACTCATCACTTTGAAAATTTACAGAATAGGGCGATATTTGAAAGATGTTACTAATTGTTGAGTCCTTCCCTACTTTTTAGTAAAGTTGATTTTTCATGACATATTAGAGTCAAAAGTTTCAAAATTTGGAATTCATTAACTATCAAAAGTTGAATTATAATTTGTTTTAGCGAACTTATAGTTTTCCTTGCTTCAAATCCAAAAGAATTTTACCCTAAGACATGTTAGCTAGATATCAATCATTTGATGGATATAATATAGTTTAAGATTTTAAAAGAGTTAGTATAGATTTTAAACGTCGAGTGACTCGAGTATGGTATTAACGAGACTTTTACAATGAATTCAAAATCCTTATAGCTTTGACATAAACGTATGTTGAAAGTTCCCTACACGTCTAATTATATCATATGATATATCAGTTTCTTTTTTTCTTCTTTTGCGAAACAAACCCAAGAAGAAGATAAGAGAGGTACGATATGTAGTTAGTGTCTCACGTCAAGGATTCAATATATAAACATTTTCATTTCTCCAACTTTCTCTTGCTCGTCTTTGTCCCGAAACAAAGCATGAATGTATATTGCTGGTTCATATGGAATATATACCTGCCCCCAAACAGCCAAAAAAGAAGCACGCGAGCACGTGCATATGTCGAAATTACACACTAAGATTTATGAAACATATATAATAATAGGTGCATCATATATATATATATATATATATATATATATATATATATATATATATATATATATATATATATATATATAATAAATGCAGTGTGGAATGAGTTAGAGAAGGAAAACAAGGAATTTTTTGAGCCTTACATGAAGTGGAAGGCAAAAGACGACAGAATGTCTGAGAAGGAGACAACACAGATAATACAGAAGATGATCTCAGAGTCAGATTCCTCTATAGATGCAGAAGAAGACTAAACAACAATTGAAAAGGACTTGAGCAATGTGTTTTGCTAAAAAATGAGTACTTTAGTCCCTCGAAGACCAATGCAATGCAACCAGCCAAAAACACAGAGCCTCTCCCCACTCTATACTATGTCTAGTCATTAGACGTTGTACAATTATCGTACGTGCTGTCTCTACCTACATGGATCCACGCTTAGGGTAATTGTTCTTATGCTGTGCATGGCTCATTGGCTATGTTATCCACCACCTAGCAAATAACACCATGCCATCTCAGCCCTGTAATTTTATCTCAGATATATCTGTTCAAGTTTATAATTTCCGTACACACACTTATAATTTACCTCTGCATTGCATTTTTTTTAATTTAATTGAAACTTTAAAAAGAAATTATAAAAACTATGGTACACTATCTTTATTAACATGATATGTCAAAATTTTGAAATTAATATTAAGGTTATTTAAAATTTAATTTATCTAAAAAATAAATGTGTTCGATTTAATATTTAAATTCAATTAAATTGAGATTATATTTAAAGAAATAGCATTTTAAAAATATAAAATATTAAAACTAAACACTTAATATAAGAAACACCATATTACTTAATATAACGATAAGAATAACGTGTGTGAAATTAGCATCCTGTTTGTTTGTTTTCTCTCATTTCAACCCAAAAAAAGAGAGTTTCACATCAAATTTAATTTATTGACCGAAAAATATGATTTTTAAGCCACTCAGCTTCTGCTAAAATAACTCCTTTCTAAATTATTAACAGAAATAATATCAGTTGTGAGATCTGTTTCTTGATATATATTATGTTTAGAGATGAAATTACACTAAAAAAATTATATCCTAACCCGAAAAAATGATTGGCGTTAACAAAAATTAGTTTATCAATATACTAATCATTGTAAATTTATGCTTATACGATGATGATGATACGCTTAAATTTTTCTTAGAATATTACTAGCATAGATTTATAACATATTAATAATTTTTTTACTATTTTATAAAGTAAGTATATTTATTATTGTATGAATTAGGACTCGAAAGATTTATACTATTTTCTTTAGATTAAAACTACATATAGTTGTTTATCGAGTATCGACTAATCTATAAGTAGTAATTAAGATTTGTTGGCTGTGATACAGATATGCCAAACCATCCATGGTCCACCAAACCCGACACATGATCACGGGCGAAAGGCATTACCATAATGATTATGCTGAAAAAACGTGATGAAGTAAATTTATCATAAGGTGATGGTGGTACGAGGACAACCACCATACGATGTGTGTTGAATAATAACACACGTATTCTTTTATTTGACATGAAAAAGGTGTAGGGCCTATGTTTTCGTAGCCAGCAATGGTCTCGTACCTCGTTCTTCATGAGCTTGATTGCGTCTAGACCATTTTCAATTTCGTATTTCTAAGAGTACCCAAATGTACTAATTTTTATTAAAAATTTGAAAATACGATAAATGTTTTATTTATTTTTAATTAAACTTCGAATAGAAATTGATCTCTCCCCATTCAACCCGTACTTGTTAATATTTTAGCTCAATTAAAAGTTATTATTAGTATTTTTCCTTTTGACTTCATACAAATAACACTGTATAATATTTTATTTTCATAATTTAATGCTGAAAATTGATGTTGTATGAATTCTGAATTTTTTTAACTTTAGTCTTTAAAGTTAAATTTAAAATTATAATAAATATATAACTAAAGTTAACATATTTTGGTACTCATTATAATTTGCACTGTTCTTTATTTTATAATCCTAATAAAGTTTAAGTAGTTCTTTCAAGTTAACTAAATCATAAGTAAGAGAGACAAGAACACACGAACAAGCTACACATTTATTTATTATTATTAATGAACAACACGCTTGGTAAGTTCACCATCCTCTATTCATGTCTGATATTCAGAGCTACTTCAAGCATTGACCTTTGGCGCCCATCCAGCAATAACATATTCCTTAGCAGCCTTGGTTTTCTCAAACGATTCCCGGGAGAAGAGAAGCTGTAACACAACATAATCATACATCTTAGTGAGAGGACATGCATAATATTTATTGATGGAAGCATATCAAGAATAACTAACAACCAATACTAGAATTGAGACAGCTATGCACGTTGTCACTTGTCAATACAAGAGAAAAAGAAAAAATACTTTCATTTACATGGTCAGGACAATTAAGAGTGGAACTAAGTAAATACTAGAGGCAATATCTTTTTATCAATTTGGATAAAAGAACATATTTTACTGGAGAAGAAAAACGGAGAGCACAGTAAGGGAGAAGGACTATATAATCCTCAACAAAAATAAGAAAACAGAACACTTCAGAAGCTGAAAATGTGATAAGCTACAGCTTAATGCTCCAAAAATAGTCGTGCACAGAGCATAAATTCAGGAAATCAACTGATTTATGTAAATCACAAATCGACAACATATTATCATGTAAGAAAGGCTTTTAACTAGCACATAAGGTGAATTCATGAGGCTGGCTTCTATAACTTGCGGAGTAAAACTTTTCAAACTTGAAGCATATAGGTATAATATCACCTAATAGTATGCTCCATATTATCCCATTCAAAAGGAGACGGGGGCTGTGTGGTAATATGTGGAATCAAACAAAGACACACTTCAAAATTTCGGATACAGATGAAAATCATGAAAAAGGTATTGAGAACTAATGGTTGGGCACTTATTTCATGATAGTTCTCAAGTAGATCCTCAATTTAATCCTGTTAAGATTTCCTGCATAGCAACTTCTGTTCTTGATAAATTGGTGACATCAAGTTGATCCTCAAATTAAAATTTTTTCATCAAGGTGACATCAGTTTGGTTTTAATAAATAGTAATAGTTGGACTATTTTGATGGTCAAAAAGCTATCATTCGATAACTAATTTGAAATACTAATCTTTTAAGGACCAAATTGATGTTCCAAATACCATTCGAGGATCAAATTAGAGATTTACTTTGCTCAACACAGGATCAATTCACAAGAGAATAATAGATTGCTTTATATGCACTGTAGGCTGTAGCACAGGATTTATGTCCATGAAAACACTTTCTGCTTGAATTTACCTTGCACAATCAGAATTTGACTTACTAACAAACTCAAATTTTTTAAAACCAAAAAACCAGTCTTTTTCAGTCCCACTTTCTTGAATCTTTTTCCTTCTAGGCACTTTATCATGACTACAGTCAAGACATATAAAAGTAGTAGATATTAAGTGATTGATATTCAGTCATTTTGAAGAAACTTTAAGCATAATATAAATAATACAAAAAAAGAGTTGGCATGAAAAGTTTGACCATAGAAAATTCTCATTACCAAATACCAATCAATGTCACCACAGCTATTCAACGGCAACGCAAAAGACACCAATAAATAGTCCCAAAAAATTGCATGCACTGCAGAAAACACCTGCTGAACTGCATACCTTGATGTAGTTGTGAATATGTGCCAAATTTTCAGGAATATTCCACTTCTTGAAGTGGCCAAGTGCTACCACAAGATGGTACAGTTTTGGTGCCAAACTCAGATCAACAGCAGTGACTTTCTCCCCAGCAACATATGGACCCTAACCAAGACTCCAGCATATTAGCATCAATAAACAGCAATTAAGAAAGTGTCACGAATAAACAAAAAAGAAGATTGTTTATTATAAATTCACATATATACATGGGCCTTGAGATGTTCGTCCAAAGCATTCAACTCAGCAACCAACGCTTGCTCTGTTCCATCATTTGGATCCTTACTCTTCAAAAAACTCACAAACGACCCAAATATATTTGATCCCCTGCAAGTGTAAACATAAGTTTAGTACCCTTAACATCTCACTCAGTCCAAATAACATCTCCTAAACAACTAGAACCACAGTATAAGTTGAGTTACCCTTTTCTTCTCAGCAGTGTGGATGCATACATTTATCAGTCACACAAAATGGATTTAGGAACAAGATAGACAGAAAAAAAAAAAAAACTTGAAATCAGGAAGAAAAAATATCTTGATTCTTGAAAACCATTTCCCAAAGGGTGAAAATAGTAACACCACCAACAACAGTGACAACAGACTTAGAATACATCAAGTCAACACAAAAGATACAGCATAAAATATTCCAAGATAGGAAAATGCAAACTTTAAAAGGACATGAGAAAAGGGGTGAAGGATCATACACGAAGGCAAATTCAGGAGGAGTGGCGAGAGGTGGTTCTGGGTATTTTTCCTCAAGAATCCCGACAATTACATCAGAATCAGACACCCATTTGCCATCTATCTGAATCACTGGCACCTTCCCTGCAGGGTTTACTTCCAAAAACCTACCACCCACCAAAAAAGATAAAATCTTTATATCACTCCCTAAAAGAAAACCACACACACACACACACAATGAAACAAAGAGGCATATTAAAATTCATTACGATACCACTGAGGTTTGTTGCTGAGATCGATGAGGTGGAGTTTATAAGTGAGTTTCTTCTCCTCCAAAGTTAAGAGTACCCTTTGGGAAAATGGACCTGAAAACAAAATCAAAGCAAACCCATTAATAATAAGTATGTAAAGAAAAGATTTTTAGCTTTTGAAGAGGGAAAGAGAGAGTGGAAGAAGCATACAGTCTCCGAGAACATTAGGAGCACCAACAGCTGCCTTCACTGCAACCTCCAAAGCCATGGATGATGAATGGCTAATGGTAACGGAACACAGAGACACTGTTGAAAGACGAGTACTACGTTTATGATCTCCTCGGTTCCGACCGACCTTTATTTATAGGATTTTGCACCCTGTCACGATACTGACGGTGAATGATTCATGTTATAATCTTGTCGTTAATTCATATAGAAATAGTTATAATATTAAATTATTAAAATAAATGTATTATATATTTATAAATAAAAAAATAAATTATTTCATTAAAAAAAATTTAATAATAAGTAAAAATATAAAATTTCAATAATTAATATTTTTAAAAATGTTTATTTTTAAGATTTAAAATTAGAAAAAATTAGTAAGTATTAAATATTTTTAAAACTGAAAGATGAAAATATTAATTTTACAAAAAAAATATACACCAAATAATTTTTTTTATCTTGATATGCTAATTTTTTAATTTTTAATAAATATTTTTATTTTAATTTTTTAATATTGTTAAACAACATTATAAAACTGCATTATTTGTATAAAATCATTACATCTTATATATATGTGATTTTCATAATATTTTTATATTCAGTATTTAAAAATAATATTTTTTTATTAATCTTATAAATCTTGTCATGCTTTAATTTTTTTTATAAGATAAACAATATTTAATTATTAAAAAATAAATCTAATATTTTCATTAACAATATGCAAGGGAATAATTAAGAAAAAATGACATTACACCTTTTATTGATATTATAAAGTATCGATGATTGATTGATGTGATTTGGTCCACCCGACTCGAGTCTCGATGGTTCCTTTTTTCTTTTTTCTAATTTAATTATTTTTTCTCTTTTTAAAAAATTTTGCTCTTACCACTATTATCATTCAGAGCATATAAAGTTCTTTTTTCCTTCTTTTATTGATTTTATAAAGTATTGATGATTTTGATTAGTGCGATGATGGTTCCTTTTCTTTTTTTAAAAAGGTATTTATTCCAAACTTTATTTTTAAATTTAACCGACTATTGTAATAATAATAAATATTAAAAAAACATTTTTAACATAGTTTATCTGAATTTTACAAAATAATAAAGACAAACCAACTTCTACCTTGAAGATTATGCTCTTCTGTAACTCCAAGCCACACTAAATCTGCATTAAAAAGTTATTTTTTATTGATCAATTTATTTAAAAATTCAATACTAAACAAAAAATATGTTTACTAAATTTAATGTCTAAAAATATATACCAAACGAATATAACTTCATTTTCCTTTTTCAGTTATGTTTTAAAATATATCTAAAAATATATTATCATTTCTCACCTCAGAATCTCAGATTTTCCTCCTTTTTGCGAATTAGTGGACTCATGAGAGTGACTTTGCTTTATTTTCTATACTTTGCATTTACGTCAATGTCACACTTATTTCTCTTACAATTACAATTTTAATCGTAATATTTTTTAATATAAAATATATATAATTTTAAAAATTAATTATATTTAATATTCAATTCAACGATCATTGAATATACGACACATGGTGCACGTGCACCTTTTTCTTTTTCTTTTTTTGTCTTAAGCCTTAGTAATAGGCTTTTTTACTGGACCGAGAGGCCCAACAACGAACCAAGAATATCGGATACAAAAAGTCAAAAATTCTAAATCCATCTTCATCTTCCACGATAAACCCTTGCTACCATAACCATGGCTTCTTTCACCTTCTCTGCTGAGGTGGCATCTAACTTCTTCAACCTTGCTTATCGCAACCCTAAACCTGTCACTTCAATCCAAACTGCTTTTCTCCCTCTTCTACGCACCACAAGAAGAAGAACAATACATTCCCGCTCTTTCTCCACAACATTCGCTCTCAGACCCGCTCGCCGCTTCACCGTCGCTGCAACCACCAGTGCGCCGCCTCAATCCGAGGGCTCCGATGTCTCCACCGTCATCCCGCCCGATAATCGCATTCCGGCAACCATCATCACCGGCTTTCTCGGTTCCGGCAAGGTGCCCTGCTTTTCTCTTTCTCTTGTTCACACCAAAATTGCATCGCTTGAACCTGTTTTTGACGTGTAATTAACTGTGCAGACGACGCTGCTGAACCATATTCTGACCGCGGAACATGGGAAGCGAATTGCTGTTATTGAGAACGAGGTACGTGTAATGTGTTGGAGTGGAATATTGAAATTTGCTTGATTTCGATGTAAGTTCGTGAATTTGAAGGTGATTGTTTCAGTTAACGTGTTGTTCTCTGCTTTGTTGTAGTTTGGTGAAATCGACATAGATGGTTCTTTGGTGGCGGCCAAAACTGCTGGCGCTGAAGATATTATGATGTTGAATAATGGGTGTCTTTGCTGTACTGTGAGGGGGGATCTTGTTAGAATGATTTCGGAATTAGTGACTAAGAAGAAAGGAAAATTTGACCATATTGTCATAGAGACTACAGGTAACAAAGCAGCTTAATTAAGATTTTTTTGGGGTACCTATTTAATTGCTACTGCCCTTGATGAGATTGTGACTTGTTTTATTGTTTGTATTTCTACAGGTTTGGCAAATCCGGCACCAATAATCCAGACCTTTTATGCAGAGGATAGGATTTTCAACGACGTCAAGTTGGATGGCGTTGTCACCTTGGTTGATGCCAAGCATGCTGGTTTTCATCTCGATGAGGTTAAGCCAAAAGGTGTGGTCAATGAGGCAGTGGAACAGATTGCGTATGCGGACCGTATAATTGTCAATAAGGTATTTACTAGTTTTTTCTTATTGCAGAGTGGCTTTAGTTCTGTGTGAATTAAACTTTTGGAAAGCAGCTAGCTAAGACCAACTGATGGATTGTTAAGTTTATTATAGTATGGTTGACCTTGTCTTTCCATTCATTCAACATGGAAATTATTCTTAAAATTCTACCTTCCAGGTTATGACTTGTGAAATGAAATGAATACTTTCTTGATGCCAGAAAATAATAGGCTAATATTCTTGTCTATCCTGTACCAGACCGACCTTGTTGGTGAATCAGACATTGCTTCTTTAGTCCAGCGGATAAGGGTTGGTGTCTTTCTTTTTCTATTGTACCTAGGTTTGGTTTTTATTTTAACTTTATTTAATTATTTTGAGTGCCCTATGAACATGGCTGTGCTTTTCAATTCAGAAAATAAACAGCTTGGCCCACTTAAAGCGGACAGAATATGGAAAAGTTAACTTGGATTATGTTCTTGGCATTGGGGGCTTTGATTTGGAGAGGTAGCTTTTTGTTCTTTTTTCCTGTTTCCTGGACCTGAATTGTTTAAGAAATAAGAAATCTGAATTTGGGGTTTACTTGTTCTTTGCACTCGGAGTTTCTGGTTTGTATAAGATTGTACCACTTTTATTTTTAACTAGTTATATATACTTAAGTCTTTTTATACTGAAATTATTCTCATTTTTGTAATTGATATTTATAATTCAATATTCTTGTTATCTTTCTGCTGTCTAACCCTGCATATGTTATTTGTGTGTTTTCTTTATCATTCATAAGGATTGAGAATGCCATTAGTGATGAAGGTGCTAAAGAAGATCACGGGCATAGCCATGATCATGACCATGAGCATGATCATCACCACGATGATTCACATGACCACAAGCATGGTACCTTTTAATTTATTACGAGTCAGAACTGTTTACATGTCATTTAATTTTTGTTTGGAGTACTAGTCACAATGCATTGGTGGTCGTGTCTTGTGAGTCTTGTCAATGGAGTCTTGATATATTTGATTACATTTTATTTAGATGTCTGTTGATCTATATTATTATTTCCTCGATTTTTAGTATTTGGGTCATAATCAGTTTTTATCTAGTTGCTTCTCATTTTATGTATTCTCAATTCATAAGTACATAGCTTCTATAGTACAATTAGTTTTACTGTGTAGTGGAATAAATTTGATTTTGTTTTGCATACAGAACACCATGATCACCACTCTCATGATCATACTCATGATCCGGGTGTTTCATCTGTCAGCATTGTTTGTGAAGGAAGCTTAGACCTTGAGAAGGTTAGTACTTGGAATTTGTCTACTCATACTTAATGCAAGTTTATCACTTTATCTTCCACTTGGATGCTTGGGGAATGCCTTTTACTGAATATTTTTATGTAAGTGTAAAATGTCAATTTTGTTAAAACTTACTAAAAGAGTATCCTTTTCAGGCTAACATCTGGCTCGGTACCTTGTTACTGGATCGTAGTGAAGACATTTACAGGATGAAGGGTCTTCTGTCTGTCCATGGAATGAATGAGAGATTTGTCTTTCAGGTAAATTTAAATTTCTCTAGCATAATAGGATTGCCGTACGGATCTTGAATAAATTTCTCAAAAGTTTTCACTTCTATGCTATTGTTGTTATCATCAATCAATCAGGTGAATATATTCTCTCCCTTTGTACCATATCGACTTTCTTTCACTGTTCTCATTTACTTTGTTCAGTTTTGCGGAATTAAGCATGTCATTTTCTGTAACAGGGAGTCCATGACATATTTCAAGGTTCACCTGAAAGGTTGTGGGGGCCAGATGAACAAAGGATAAATAAAATTGTTTTCATAGGGAAAAACTTGGATGCTAAGGAATTGGAGAAGGGATTCAAGGCCTGTTTACTGTGAAACCAGAAGTTCTATACAAGGAGCTCTAATCCTCTCTGTTTTGGCAAATGATGCCCATTGAAGATGAGTGTCTGTATACCATGTAGAATTGTGGACTAGCTTACCATATACATAGTGAAAAGTGTTCCATTCCTCGAACATCTTCGTTCTCTAATGGGGCTTAAATCTCACCCCGAAATTGCGATGACATTAGTTTCAAGTGTTGTTTTAAGGGCTTAAACTTCGTTGAGAAAATTCAATCGAAAACATTATTTTGTACAAATGAAAGGACCTTATACTTCAATGCTATCAAATAAAATAATGACAGCACAAATTAATTCATCAAAGCTTTTATTATTTTAATTGCAAACACATTTACTACAGAATAAAAATTAAAAAAATGTTGATGCAAGAAAATTGTACTTAGATAACAGAACATAACTCATTTTAACGACCATACGGAATTCCACACGCGTTGAAATGGAGGATGGTATCGATTCCATCTGTGGTGTGCTGGTCATCCATGAGGAGTCAAGTACGGCATAACCTCGAGCATTCTCGTACTTGCCGGTCCTACCAATCACCGCAAACTCAGTCTGCGGCGGTACGGTTCTGTTAACACTAAACAAGCTTATGATGTCTTCTACCTCATCCTGATGCTCCCCATTAAGCAGCAACAGCGTCAGCACAATGCTCTGGCTAGTACCGTCCAAGGAGCTAGCCAGGTAGAACCCTTGCACCTGATCCCAGTTCATGTCCTTCAGTTATCTGGTCATCAACGACTGTGAAGGAGCCGAACATGAGCTTCCGGAGTGTGAACCCAGCACGAACTTTTCCTGCTTAAACAATCGGTTGGTTGTTGGTGGTGGGGTGGGACTTGGGAGTCTATTCTTTAACAAGTGGAGCTGGTACTCTGTGAAGTGGTTGGATGTTCTTTCTATGGGTTGTGCTTTGGTTAAATCAAATCGTCAGTTAGTATTTACAATTTGGATCCAACGTAACTATTTGACTAAATGGAAGTGATATTTGGAACGATATGTGTTTGTCTAGGATGATCCAGATTCAAATTGCAATTTTATTAAATACAAAATCATTGACTTGGGATACCATTAGACTGTAATTTTTGAAGGAAATGGAATTTCCAGAAAACAAAAAGTTTGGTACTTCGGTTTCAGGTGCAATTGTTAAATGATTAATACTATGACCTAGTATTCTCTAAAGCCATAAAATACTGCCATGTTTTCTTTCAGAATATATATATATATATATATATATATATTTATATATCTTACATTATGAAGTAATTCTACTTGTTCCCAAAATCCAATTCCAACGAATTTGATGGATAATGGGTACCTTAGGTTTCTGAAAGAATCACCATTTCTTGCAACACCACCTTTTCGAGTGCATTGCTTTATTTTCTGTCATACTCCTAATATAAATTATATACATTATGAACTGTTTTGATTTTATTTTCCCTTGACTTTATCCAAGGCTTGCAGAATTAACCGAATTTTGACGTGCTTCAGTGCACCTGTCCTTAGCCTCTCTCTTTGGGAGCATCAGATAACCTGAAACTCAGAACCATGACAATAAGCTATTTTGGTCGCTAATGAAGACAACAGAAGAACATGTTATTTGTTGAACGCACTTCCAACGAAAAATCAATTTATAACCGTAGCAGTCTCCTAATACTAATGCTACAAAATATGATTTATGACTAACTCCCATAACATGTGTCTAATTATAGAGCTCTGTGGAGATCAAGCTTGTTTAGGAAAAGCAGATTCCTAGGTAACAGTGAAAAATGTTACGTCTCAATCTTGCTCGTACATTTGTCATCATGCTAGTCTCGGATTTATATTTGCAAATTCCTTGGTTACTTAACTAATCTACTACTCTCTTTACAAGTTAGACATGTAATGGCTTTTATAATAACCATAGACACGTAATTTTTGGTACCTGTTCTCACGTATGAATTGTACAAGTTAAACGGTATGGATTTCTTCTATTTTCCAATTTTATTTTGTGGAAGCTACAAAACGCTTCTAGCAGAAAGTGAGGGTTGGCTGTGAACTAGATGACTTCCAATCTATCTTAAGAATTGAGACTAAGTTATGATATTATATCTCAATACTGAGAGAAAACACAATCTAAACTGATTTTTCTAACTAAGATACACATCAAACAAAAGGAATTTTGAACTTATAACTTTTCCTTCTGTACTAGACCCTACTCTATCCACAACCTTAACTACAGCATAGCCATTTGCACCATAGTACTTTCCAGTGCCTCCAATAACTGCAACATGTGACTCAAATACATCAGTCCTGTGCACTCCAAAAAGTCTCAGACCATCTTGATACTCACCCTTCACAAAACTTGCTGTCATAGCCACCATATGGCTACTTTCATCCTTAGAGCTAGCCACACACACCCCTTGAGCTTTTCCAAGTTTTTGTAGTTCATCTCCATCACCTTTAAGTAGTTCCTCATCTATTGATGTTACTGATCCTAACTCCAGCTCTTGAAGTGTTGCTCTAGCAGGAAAAGAGAAGCCAATACTAGACAGGTCAAGTGTTTGAGTAGAAGATGCAGTGATTGGAATTGTTGATGTAGATTGAGGTATTGGAATCCCTCCATTAGGAGGGTGAAGGCCAATAGGTTTTGGGAAAGGAAGTTGACCAGTGACATTTGTAGTGTCAGGTTTCTCTGAATGCTGTTTACTACCATTGAGCATATCCCGCATCAAAAATATTATTCTGTGATGGCCATGGTTGTGGTTAGGATTTGGATTGCCAAGGGTTCTAGCTGAGGATGATACGTTTATAGTTGTGATTGACAAAAGTAGCATGATTATTGCTGGAAGAGAAGAGCGTTTGGCCATTGTTGCATAGCTTTCTTTTGGGATTAGTTTGCATGCTCGGTTCATATAATTAGGCTACAACTAAGTGTGGTGGTTAGAATAAGCTATGATCATATGCTAAATGGCTAACAATATTAAATATGCTTTTGGTTTGCATGTATGATGATCATTAAACGAAATTTAATATGTTAAGACAGTGAATAGGTTATCCTATGTAACTAATTCAGTTTATGTCATAAACTAAGAACATTATCAAGATTAGTTAGTGCATGAATGGAACAAACTCACCCAATACATATTCAATTTTTTATAAGGCCTATGATGATACTGGTGTTAAGAAAAAGTTGACTATAAGTTGTTGGCCTTTTATAAAGGGTAAACCAACAAATTATGAAGAAAATCAAGTTGTTTACGGACTCGCCAGAGGATGAAGTTGATGATACCTCTTGTCTTGGTTTAACTATTGCTATTAAGTACTAATATAATGTGAAAAATAATAGCTAACTACGGCTCATTAATCAATAATTATAATCTATTCTTTTGAAGATATAATACATTAAACACCAAAATTGAAAATGAATTTAAGTGTAATTTTAGTTTACTTAACTCTAAATATAGTCCTGAAACAAATTAAAGTGCGTGACATTAACTTTTTAATGTTTTTCAATTAAATTATTCCATTAAAAACATTAAATTGTCACTAAAAATCCGTCCATATAAATAAAGTAGTAAAATGAAAGTTTAAATTTAGTGATATTTTTTTAAGAATTGATTTAATAAAAAAAAGCTTTCAAACGATAATATAATAATATTGGTTAATATAAAATATTAGGAATTAATAGAAAAAAAATATTGTCAGACACGTTGTGGTTGTCTTTGGAAAAAAAAAAAACATAAATTAAATGATAATGAAATTATTTGACATATATGGAAAATAAAAATAAAAATCCTTGAAGTTGTAATAATAATAATAATAATAATAATAATAATATGAAATGAATTATGTAATTTTTACTAAAGAGTAGAAAATTTATTCATTATTTTTTATATTTTAAAAATATTTAATGTTTATATATTACAAAAAGTAAAAATCACAGTGAGAAGTTCTTTGTACATGTATATATTTTTATACAAACATGCATCCTTGTATATGTTATTAATATAATTTAGAATAAAATGAGATGAAATACAAAAGAACTCCTTCAAAATATTTATGAATTTTTTGGGGTTAAATTATACTTTTTTTTAAAAAATATACTAAAATATATTTTAGTATATTTTATACAAGTCTTCTCCTATTTCAAACATGTGTCTTGATCATGTGGAATAATTTAAAATGAAATTTATTTAATTTTATAAAACAACCTAACATAAATAATAAAATTAGTAAAAAAATAAACAGATAATGGTGATATCCTAAAATACGAGAGAAGGGAACAGAAACCCCAGTTAGGGTTTGTATTCCCGCTCCACTAAGCTCACACTGTTAACGACTCTCTCTGCTGTGTACACCGTTCTTTTGCCATCGACTGTGTGAATGTTACATTGAAACCAAAACCCTAAACAAATTCCACAGCCATGTATCTCTATAGTCTCACTCTGCAGCGACCCACAGGCATTGTTTGCGCCATCAACGGCAACTTCTCCGGCGGCAAGAGCCAAGAAATCGTGGTGGCCAGAGGCAAGGTTCTCGATCTTCTTCGCCCTGACGACAACGGTAGGATTCAAACCATTCTCTCCGTTGAAATTTTCGGCGCAATTAGGTCTCTAGCTCAGTTTAGGTTTCACGGAGCACATAAGGACTACATCGTGGTGGGTTCAGATTCCGGTAGAATCGTAATTCTTGAATACAATAAGGAGAAAAATGTTTTCGATAAAACTCACCAAGAAACCTTCGGGAAATCCGGTTGCCGCCGAATTGTCCCGGGTCAGTATTTGGCCATAGATCCCAAGGGTAGGGCTGTTATGATTGGGGCTTGTGAGAAGCAAAAGCTTGTTTATGTTTTGAATAGGGATACTGCTGCTAGGTTAACCATTTCTTCCCCTTTAGAGGCTCATAAATCACACACTTTGGTCTATTCCATTTGTGGTGTTGACTGTGGCTTTGAGAACCCTATTTTTGCTGCTATTGAGTTGGATTACTCCGAGGCCGATCAAGATTCCACTGGCCAGGCTGCTTCTGAAGCCCAGAAGCATTTGACGTTTTATGAGCTTGATCTTGGCCTTAACCATGTTTCTAGGAAGTGGTCTGAGCAGGTTGATAATGGTGCCAATTTGCTTGTTACTGTTCCTGGAGGCGTTGATGGCCCCAGTGGTGTTCTTGTTTGTGCCGAAAATTTTGTTATTTATAAGAATCAGGGTCATCAGGATGTTAGGGCTGTGATTCCTCGGCGTGCTGACTTGCCTGCTGAGCGTGGTGTGCTTATTGTTTCTGCTGCCATGCATAAACTGAAGAATATGTTCTTCTTCCTTCTGCAGACAGAGTATGGAGATATTTTTAAGGTCACCTTGGCCCATAATGACAACCGTGTCTCGGAATTGAAGATTAAGTATTTTGATACTATTCCCGTAACGGCTTCAATGTGTGTGCTGAAGTCGGGATTCTTGTTTGCGGCATCAGAGTTTGGGAATCATGCTCTGTATCAGTTTAAGGCAATTGGGGATGATGATGATGTGGAGGCATCGTCTGCTACGCTGATGGAGACCGAAGAAGGTTTTCAGCCAGTGTTTTTCCAGCCCAGAAGACTGAAAAACCTTGTTAGGATTGACCAGGTTGAGAGTTTAATGCCAATAATGGATATGAAGGTCAGTAATCTTTTTGAAGAGGAAACTCCTCAAATTTTTACTCTTTGCGGGCGTGGTCCTAGGTCATCTTTGAGGATCCTGAGAACTGGTTTAGCAGTTAGTGAGATGGCAGTATCCAAGCTTCCTGGCATACCTAGTGCTGTTTGGACAGTGAAAAAGAATGTTATTGATGAGTTTGATGCTTACATTGTTGTGTCATTCACAAATGCTACTCTTGTGCTTTCCATTGGTGAGACCGTTGAAGAAGTCAGTGACAGTGGGTTTCTAGATACTACTCCCTCCCTTGCTGTTTCTTTGATTGGAGATGATTCTCTCATGCAGGTTCACCCAAATGGTATTAGGCATATTAGGGAGGATGGCCGTATTAATGAATGGAGAACACCTGGAAAGAGGACTATTTCAAAAGTTGGATCAAATAGACTTCAGGTGGTTATTGCACTGAGTGGAGGGGAGCTTATATATTTTGAAGTGGATGTAACTGGTCAGTTGATGGAGGTGGAGAAGCATGAAATGTCTGGAGATGTTGCTTGTTTGGACATTGCTCCAGTACCTGAAGGCAGACAAAGATCTCGTTTTCTTGCAGTTGGCTCATATGACAAGACCATTCGCATCTTATCACTGGATCCTGATGATTGTATGCAGGCTCTAAGTGTACAAAGTGTTTCTTCAGCTCCAGAATCTCTTCTTTTTCTTGAAGTTCAAGCATCTGTTGGTGGTGAGGATGGTGCAGATCATCCTGCTAGCCTTTTCTTGAATGCTGGCTTACAGAATGGTGTCTTGTTTAGAACTGTGGTGGATATGGTTACAGGTCAGCTTTCTGATTCCCGTTCCAGGTTCTTAGGATTGAGAGCCCCAAAGCTGTTTCCCATTATTGTGAGAGGCAAGCGTGCTATGCTATGCTTGTCAAGTCGACCTTGGCTTGGTTATATTCACCAAGGACATTTCCTTTTAACACCCCTTTCATATGAAACCCTTGAATATGCTGCCTCATTTTCGTCTGACCAATGTGTGGAAGGTATAGTTGCTGTTGCTGGTGAGGCCTTGAGGATTTTTACTATAGAAAGATTAGGAGAGACATTTAATGAAACTGTAATTCCGTTAAGGTACACACCAAGGAAATTTGTGCTGCAACCCAAACGAAAACTTCTCGTGATGATTGAGAGTGATCAGGGAGCATTGACTGCAGAAGAACGTGAAGCTGCAAGAAAAGAGTGTTTTGAGGCTGCTCAGGCTGGGGAAAATGGTACTGGAAGTGCGGACCAAATGGAGAATGGTGGTGAGGATGAAGATAAAGATGATCCACTTTCTGATGAGCATTATGGTTATCCAAAAGCTGAATCGGATAAGTGGGTTTCCTGCATCAGGGTTCTCGATCCAAGGACAGGAAATACAACTTGTCTTTTGGAGCTACAAGAGAATGAGGCTGCTTTCAGCATATGCACAGTAAATTTCCATGATAAGGAATACGGAACTCTTTTAGCTGTTGGAACAGCAAAGGGACTGCAATTTTTGCCCAAAAGGAGTTTAACTGCTGGTTTTATTCATATATATAGGTTTGTAGAGGATGGAAGATCCCTCGAACTTCTTCACAAAACTCAGGTTGAAGGCGTTCCTGTTGCTCTATGTCAGTTTCAAGGAAGATTACTTGCAGGAATAGGACCTGTGCTCAGGCTGTATGATTTGGGAAAAAGACGATTGTTAAGAAAATGTGAGAATAAGCTGTTCCCCAACACAATTGTCTCTATTCAAGCATACCGTGATCGAATTTATGTTGGTGATGTCCAAGAGGTATGCTTGTGTTTTTATATCTGTACCTGTTGAATATCCAGTACTTTGAGTTGAGCATTCTGCAATATTTTTTGTTATGACTTCTGAATTTTTTGATATCAAATTCACAGTGGATTCTTACATTAATTTTTCTGGGTCCTGCACACTCTAATGTTCTAATTTTACTGATTTGGTTTTGTATTACTAAGCTTCAGTAGGGATTATTCCATTTTGGAAAGAGTTAAGTCTTTCTGTTAATTTTGCAAATAGTCGGCATGCTTTTTCAGATTCAATGTGCTGCTTTCTCTCCATGATCCCTTTCATTTAATAAATTCTTCAGCTAAATTGTGTGTTTTGTGTTTTTTCCAGTCTTTCCATTACTGCAAGTATAGGAGGGATGAAAACCAACTTTACATATTTGCTGATGATTGTGTTCCAAGGTGGCTTACTGCATCTTACCACATAGATTTTGACACTATGGCTGGTGCCGACAAGTTTGGCAATATCTATTTTGTGCGGTTGCCACAGGATGTTTCAGATGAGATAGAAGAAGATCCTACCGGTGGGAGGATCAAGTGGGAACAGGGAAAGCTGAATGGAGCTCCCAATAAGGTGGAAGAAATTGTACAATTTCACGTTGGTGATGTGGTCACATGCTTGCAAAAGGCTTCTCTCATACCAGGTAGTGGAGAGTGCATTGTATACGGAACAGTTATGGGAAGTGTTGGGGCATTACACGCCTTTACTTCACGAGACGATGTTGATTTCTTTTCTCATTTGGAGATGCATATGAGGCAGGATCATCCACCTTTGTGTGGAAGAGATCACATGGCCTACAGATCTGCCTATTTTCCTGTTAAGGTATATCTGATTAATATTATGCTGTTTGTTCTTTCTATTAAGGTGTTGGAAAGCACGGGTTGCAATCTGTGCTGGATAACATCCTTCGTGTTATATTTCATTGCTGTTTCTGATAGGGCCCTTTTTATTCGGTCTCTAATAAAATCCTGGACACATCAAAATGGTCTATTTGTTGATTGTGCATCTTTTATCGCCATGGCATTAAATTTTGACAAATTTCTGATACTCCTGGATTATTGTGTAGGATGTTATTGATGGGGATCTATGCGAGCAATTCCCAACATTGCCCATGGATTTGCAGAGAAAAATTGCTGATGAATTGGACAGAACCCCTGGAGAGATACTGAAGAAACTAGAGGAAGTGCGAAATAAGATTATTTAAGAAATGATGGTCATGGTCTGAAAGGTATGATTCCCTATTTCTATGTACTTAGGTCTGGTTGTCTGTACTCTGTAGCACTTTGTCGTTGTAGTAGGACAGCAAGCAATACTTAAAGATGTTATTTTATATGTCTAAAAGAATTTCACTAACCAATATAACACAACAACGGGGGATGCATAAATAAGGGGGAAATTTTCACTTGTCAATATGTATGTGGTCTGATATGTCAAGAGAAATTCACCATTTACCATTTTGTCCCCTTGACCGGGTTGAGTCTTACATTCTGGCGTATAGCTTAGAAGAAATAGAAATCCACACTTCTGTTCTGTCTGTCTTTACCAAGGTGTTCTCTGTTGGAACCACATGGGTCGGTTTATTCTTTTCATTAGAATTAGAGATTCAGTAATTGCTAGTTGATAATTATTGATAAGGTTGAATATGGAAGACGGCACATATTTGCTCTTTTGTTAAAACCTACTTAGAAATGCTGTTGTTTACATAAGATCATCACAGTTCCACTTAAACTACCTCCATCTGTTGCTATGCTGGTCCCCAGATGATGACGATGATAACTAATCTTGAATAAATTTGTAGTTGCTTTAATGTTATTGAGAATTTTGATTTGACGAATGCATTGTACTGTGGTTTGGTTGTGTGCAGGTCATTGCGGAAATGTGTTTTTCTAGGAGGTCGTTTGCTGGCAGTTAGGTTACTACTAACAAAGTGAAGTAAGCTTGTGTATCTCCTTCATACGGGAACGGTGATTTCTTGTCCTATTTTAATGCAAGCGGATGAGGAACTGTACTCTATTGTTGAAATGAAACCCATATGTTGTAATTAATCGTAGTTGACTGTTATCACTCTTTGTGGATGTGATGACGCTTCCCATATCTCTCTATCTTCCATCTCAGCACCCTTCCCTATTACTCAATCAGACGTTGGTTTAACTTTATATTAAATTTATTGTCCGGAATATCACCACTTCACCATTTCAAAGAAGAGTAGGTGCTGCTGATTGCGTTGGGTCACGTATCATCAACATTATGCATGAAAAAAAGATGTTTGGTAGAGAAATATATATTTTATTGTGTGCAGAGGTAGTGGTAACCGATTGATGATTGGGGTTTTGGTGTTGAATTTGCAGTACCTGATATTTCACGGTTTGTTATTGACTAGGATGATTCAGTATGAATTAATACCAACTTGAGTATGACATGTTAACTTTTAATTCGGCACTTTTAACCATCGTGATAGCCACTCAACGGGGTTGTTTGCAATGTTGATATAAATTATATAAATCTTAAATCTAATAAAAAATCTTTTGAAGAAACGTCAGTCATCTCAGATTGACCTGTCAAATTGATTGCTGTTATTTTCTTTCTAATTAAATTGAAGTTGATGAGAAAGATAGTCAATAAGAAAAAGAAACGTATTATTCTTTCTTTCTTTTTTTTTACAACTACGTATTATTATTTCTAACTTCCATGCGTGTGGTTCTCTTGGTGCATCTTTGCTTTGTTTTTTATGACGAGATTAAATAAGACAATAAACAAAGTAAGGGATGAAAAGTAGAATTAAAATGAATTATATTAATGGGTAGAAATAAGGAAAAATTAAAAAATCTTTCTAGGTTGGATAAATTAGAAACATAAGTAGTTTATTTTTTATAATAATAATAGACTTGATTTTAAAAAAATTTAAAACTCTTAATATAATTCTTTTCTTACTTTTATTTTTTAAATATTTTATTATTTTAAAAAATTACAGCAAAAATTCAAAAGAAAGTGTCCCCTCCTCCATTTCCATTTTCACGCCTTTGAAGAAGTTTTTTTTTTTTTGGCGGCTCCCACCTCTTTCAAATTTCTTCTTTCTGCTAAAAGACAAAATCATTAAATAAGGAAAAATTACACTTTTTATTTCTAAAATTACTTCTCTTAATTTCTTTTCTTTCAAAATCTTCTCATCCAGACAAAGCCTTCATGTGTGTTATTTCTAAGATCATGTATAATTAAGGACCTAAGTGAGATAATAAAATTCAACTCATTAGAGACAGTAGTTAGTGTGATTGTGGAAGAGGATATGTCGAGTCTTGTGAGCTAGTGGAGGGAGAGGTGCAAGCTCAGTTAAAAAATTGAGCCAAAAATAGAACCAAACCAGGAGCTCCTTTATAAATTAATTTCAACTTTACAGGGGCTTTAATGGGCATAGAGAAAAAAATACATTTAGTTATTTCTTCAGAACTTGGAAGCACACCCAAATGGGGATTCGGGACATACAAGAGATTACACGACAACAGTGCCCGCAATCCCTATTGCATTGCCTCCGTTTGTTTTCCAAGCATCTTACCGAACAACAACAAACTTTAGCTCCAAGGAAGACAAATTCTTTGGTACAAAACAAATAGTTAGGGACCCAATTTAGACTTTCACCAAACATTCATTTTGTTCTTTCAGCTCTCTCTCCACTCTTGAATTTCCATATTGAGATCTCTCCTCTACCCAATTAATAATATCTGAAAATACAATGTTCAAATTTTCTGGTGGCTCCCCATACAATAGACCATGCCACATTTCTGGGTACAACTTCAGTGTCTTATCCGAGCTTGCTGCCACATCACATAGTTGTTTGCTAACTGATTTGTCTGTCACTTTATCTTCCTCACCATGCAAAAGCAGAAAAGGTAGTGACACCTAACCAAAGAAAGATGGGTCACAACTTTTGCATTAAGTCTTATAAACAAACTATAAGGAGTATTAGAAAATTTGACAAACCTCGTGTAATCTTTGCTCAATATCTGTACTGACCCTGTAAAGTTCGTAGCCTGTTCTCAACCGAGGCTTTCCTTTGTAGCAATATTCGTTGGCTCTAATCTGCACCACAAAAATAACACCTTTACATTCTACCATTTTTTTTTCTCATATGTTAATATGATAAGAATTATAATTAGTGAGTCAATAAAGTGCAACTATGTGTCTCTGTGTTTATTTTGAAGTGATTCATAAGTTGGTTTTAATCGGCAATTATTAGTTTATGGAATACAATTTGTGTCCATACCTCTTCTCTGACTTCAGGGAGTTTAAAGGCGGCATCAATGACATCATTGGTTGGAACTAATCTCCATGAGGGAATAAATTTGCTTAGTGCACTTAATATACCAATCACTATTGTGTTGGGTTTCATTTCATCTGCAATCTGCACAATAATGTGTTGTTAATATAACTTGAAATTTGAAAACGCTTCCCCATGACTGCAATAGAGTGAACAAATTCACAATATTTTCACCCAAGGCCGCGTTTGGAAGGCATTAGCCAAGAACAAAACAAGTTTTTTGGTCTGTTGCACACTAAACAATAATGCCTTAAGTAATAATCATTTGTAAAAAAGGAGAGACTTTCATAAATCTAAATTATTGATTTTGCAATTTATTGCTTGAATTGATGGATTGCCAATTATATAGTTTATGTTTAAAATTAAAAAGTCACTTTCTGAAGGCAATATCTTCTAGCTGTGACGTAATATGTGAGGAACAACTACTGCAACAGTTTAGCTTAGAAAATTATTGATTTATCCGTTACTAAAAGTCAGAAGCCATCGTTATTGAACACTAATATCGGTCAAACTGATCCATCGAATTATTTTGCTTTAACAAATCAACTAAAATATAATATATAAAAATAGCTATAGTTCATATTTAAATAAGATGTAAACTTGCAGGTCAAGAATTTTTTTTTTCTAACATGTTTTATTTTATCTAATAAAAAAATTTAAGTTGTAAAACGTACAAACTAAAAAACTCTATCTTTATTCCTGAGATATATTTTCATATTCTAAATTATTGAGAAAAGTAGTGATTGATAATAAAATATTGATGCACACAATTCAATAAAAAAGTTCTGATGCCCCTCAACTAGATAGAGTAACACAAAAGATGAGCACCATGTCCATCGTGAGTCACAATAATTTTGTATCTTTCTGTTTCCTTGCGTTATTATCTCGCAAATAATTTTGTAACACAAGCGATTCTGATGGCTACAATTTTGTATCTTTCTGTATCTCTTACGTGATTGTCTCTCAAACCTTACAGAATCTCTCCTAATAATAACAATAAATACATTTTGTTGTAAAATACCCACTTCAATCACTACTCATAGATTGATAGAAAATGTTTATAAACAATCCATCAATTCGATCATTTATAAAATATAAATTGAGATATCTTTTTCCCTTTTAAAACAAGATGTACTTGTATAAAAATACAGTTTAAAATAGAAATTTTAGATTTTTTTAAAAGGACTTTTTAGATTGTTTAACTAATATTATTAACAGATAATTACAAGATGTGAGTACATCTTGATAACATTTTTAATAAAAAGATGGATATTGAACTAGCAAACCATGATAAGAGAAAGGTAAAAGGAAAATGCACATCAATATCTACTTAATTTGATTGGCTCCTAATTTGCTGGGCACTGTAAATCACGGGATTCCAATGAACAAACGTGAATGGCCCAATAGAAAAAGAAACGTGCAGAACAAGAAGCAAACAATACCCAAACAAGAGAGGGAGAGAGAAAGAGAGGGGATGCAATTTTTTGTTTTTCTAATGAAATAATTATTATGGGAGAAAAAGGACAGTGTGTAACGTATGATGCATATATTATATAGTTTGCTTGGAGATGATATTTTAATAGAATAACAACAAAAGTAAACAAATAAATGGAGGAAAGCAAGCCAACCTTGCACATGGGTGCCACCAAAATTGCCCCATCCCAGAAATCTGGCCTTTTCCAGTGCAAAAGCAGGGCCACAGCTCCTCCCATGGATTCCCCCAACAAGTACCTCATCTTTTTCTTGTTCTCTGCCTTTTCTGTAATTTCATTTATTAAAAAAGTATTTCATTAAAATGATTTTTTTTAATATATAGACACATGGTAACAAATAATAATCTCTTTATAAACATAAAAGTAATATTATATTTTTTATAAGCAATCTTTTAGTAGAAAAGTGGGCACCTTGTGGGTTGGAAAATGTGTTCAAATTAAAAAGCTTAATGGTAGGCAACAAAAATTGAAATGAGAGAGAGAAGATGGTGACCACAAATGGAAGTGAAATGGTTTGAGCAATCATCGATAACATCATCAAAATTCTTAACAAGACCAGGAAGCCCATCTGATTTTCCATGCCCTTCATAGTCAATTCCATACACACCAAAACCCGCTTTTGCAAGCCTTATTGCTGTGCCTGTGTTTCATTACATCATCATTCACCAAATTAATAACTATAATATATAATAAATGCAATTTTATTTTCATTGACTTGTGGAAATTAATTACTCTTCATGGTGATGCTGCATTCCATGGCATACCCATGGCAGATGAAGATTAACGCTTTTGGACTTTCATTAACCGGAAGCCATTGGCATGCAAAAAGCTTCATGTCTCGAGAGTTCAATACGTATTCCTGCAAAATACATAAATTCTTTTATCTTTATGATTCTGTTTTTTTATTTTATTTTTTTTCTCTTCTTTTCTTCTTCCCTTTGAATTGATATAAGAAAAGATCCCATAAACACGAACAGATATCGGTATTACTCGTTACCTCTTCATATTTAATCTCTGTTTCAAACGCCTGCACGTCAGAAAGCAAAGAAAAATCATTAAGAAAAACTAACTACGGATTAGGAATGATAATTATACAGAGAGAAAGAAAGAATTAGAGAGAGAGAGAGAGAGAGAGAGAGAGACCATGAAGATTTGTTAACGTTGGACTCCGAAGGTTTGGTCTAATTTTCTGTTCTTTTTTTCTTTTTCTCGAGAATGATAAAAAAAAAAGGGAGGAGGGAGAGATGGAAACAGAGGAGAAATAGTCTTTTGATGAGTGAAGTGGGAAGGAGAAATTTTTAGTGCATGGAAATTTGGAAATCACATATTCCCTATTTATAGAGTAGACAGACACACACACACAGAGAGAGAGAGAGAGAGAGAGAGAGGTGATTCTATGAACCAACGTTTCTCCCTCTAAGCTTGGCCCACTGAGAAATGCTTTAAAACTAAATTGTTGACATATTAATCGTAAAAAAATGTTGACATACAGATAATTATTAGTTAATTAATGACTAATATCAATATTTTGCTGATAAATATGCTGGAACAGAATGACTTGGTAGATGGCTTGGCAGATTTTAAGAATTTAGTTTAATTTTTCAATTGATGACTAATACACAAGAATTCTTAAAAAATGTTGTTGAATTGATCCATATATAGAAAAGGGTAAAGAAGGTTGCATAGATTTTAGATTATTACAGTGGTTTAATATAAAAGATGTGCCTTTTTTCTGGAGTTGAATCTTGGCATGAGCTCCCCTTATTTATAAGCAACTTGGCATTACATATATGACTTTTTCTTTTCTCTTCTTTTGACTCGACTTTGATGGTGGACTTTGTGGCTTTGCTGATTGATGATTATATTGGAATGTGATCAGTGATTAAGCTGTTCAAATCTTATTGAATAAAATTGAATTTTAAGTTGCAGTGATTCGTTTAATTTTTGGGTCCATATATTGAAAGTTAGAGTTGAAACCGTGTAAGGGTTGGATAAGAACGAGGGCGAGGTAAGATAATGAATATGAAAGAGCTGTTCTTAGAGAATGGGATAAGAATAGATTTTAAATATTCAAATGGAATAGTTAGTAAATCATAAATCTAATTTTATGATTTATAAATAGATACCATTATTATCAATTTTATATAATTTATAAATATTAATTTTAAACTATAATGCTTTCTTTTAATGAATTTTTTTTTATAAATTAATTCCATTTCTCAGTGTGCTAACTATTTTTTTATACAAGTATATACTTTTTATTCAATATAAAATTAAATTGATTTTTTTATATTTTTCAATTTTAAAAATATCTCCTTATTTATTTTATTTAATATAATAAAATATTTATTAATATAATCATAAATATTTTAAAAAAAATTAAAGTTAGTCTTACTATTTTTATTATTTATCTTAAAATTTTATTTTAATTTAATAATATTTATACAAACGCACATAAAAAATAGTAAAATAGACATACCATGGATCAACCTAAAAATTCTATAAAAAAAAAAAAAGGGCTTAGGTATTAAAATTAAAATCCTAAATAAAATTAGACCTTTTATTCATTCAAATTTTAACTCATGCAAACTTGATAAAAAAAAATAACTCAAATGCCACTCACAATATATATTATTGTTATTATCTTTAAATAAATGTGACATGAGTTAAGGTTGATAGCTTAATGCATATTCCACAAATCCAATGAAATTATATTTGTACATTCTTTAAAATTTCGATGTCAACTATCAACATATACTTGTGATGACTTTTTTTATACTGTCGTTGTACTAGTAATTTAAAATATTTATTTATAATTATAATTATTGATATTTTACTTTATATTGATGAATTCTTTTTATATTTTTATTTCATTTTGTAACTTATTTAGTATAATTTAAAAAAATGAGAATGTAATGACTATTTTAAATTGGTTATATTTACACATTCGCTTCCATATTATTTATAAAATGTTATTTCTTATTAAAAAACATGTATCATATTAAAAATATAAAATGTAATAAATATTTTAAGATAAAAATTATTATTTTAAAATTGTTAAATTAAACTCTAAAAACTGACATTAAGTATTAACAGTATGGTGTACAGCATAGTTTAGCTAAATAAATATTATGTAACATAAAATGATTATTTTATCTTAACAATTATTTAATGATTTTATATACCGAGGATTGCATTAGTTAATTATTGTAAATAAGAAGATTAGTTAATTTTAAAATATAATTTTTACGCTTTTATTTTCTGTAATTTTTAAAATTTTATTTTCTATAGTTAATTTAAATGATATAAGTAATATATAGTTTGTTTTCTTTTATTTACTTAAAAGTCCGGCAGCCATGATGCATTGAAATGGGTCAGGTTTCGTTCACACTTGACATGTACGGTACAGTGACTTTGCAAAGGAGAAAGGTTCATACGTGAAAATTTCAAATAATCAAAGTTCAAGTGAAAATAACTTTTTTATGCATTTAATACTTGTTCTACACTATTTTGGAGAAGAAGAAAATAAATAAATAAATAACGAAAATTAGCTTATTTAAAAGTAATAAAAATGTGCCTTCCTTTTAAATTTTTTTTAAGTTAAAACAATAAATATCCTAAAATTGTGGTGGAATAAGACGTAATTATTTATTTTCTTTTTATTATAATTTATTTTTATTTAATTTACTTATATTAATAAAATTTATTAAATTAGTTCATAATCTTAAATTTATAAAATAAATAATATAATTTTTCAAAATTTATATTTGTTTAAATATTTACCTAGTCTTTTATGTTTTATTTCTATTTTAATTGTTTTTAATATCTTATTAATTTATATCTATACCTTAATAATATTTTTCATCTTTCTCTCCAGATGTTTTACCCTTATATCATAAAATATAAATAATTTATTAATGTCATATGCAGTTAACTTATATGAGAATTTATGATAACCAGAAATTAACTTAATATAAACAACTAAAATTAGAAAGGCCAGAATTATGCATATATTAAAATATAAAGATTAAAAGTGTTATTAAGTCAAAATTAATAAAAAGTATATAAATACATATATAGCATTATTGACTTAAAAGTACAAAAAAAAAGGAAAGATAAAGAATGATATTAAAAAAAATTAGAAATCACAGTGGAAAAGTATAACTGTGGTTTATGCAACACACAAACACAGTACAGTTTTCCTTATTTCCATAAAGGCCTAAAGGGACGGCAGCATTGACCAAAAGGAAAGACAGTGGCAGAGACAGATGATATTAATTGTTTGAATATTTGCATGGATCATCCATGAATGATTATGTCAAGAACAAACCACTAACCTGACATGCACTTGCAATTTGCATCTCCACTTGCTTCATCTTCTACTGTTTGGACTATTCTTTCACTCTCCGTCAAGTAGTAGACAACACCCTTCAACCACCGCATTAACCTTCACCGTGTCCAGCGTCGGCCACCGCCGTCCGATTCAACCCAATCATCAGATGAGATTGATTGGAAAAACTAAATGTCAAGCATAAAATCCATGCATCTTGTTTACTTAGTGACTTAACTATCCATACAAATTGAAAAATATTCTGTACATTTAGGACGGATAGTCAAACTATTGAAAAAACAAAGTTGGGTAAGACTCAACATGAGGATGAAATAACGTAGCTACTTTGTTTAATTAATGTTTGCATTGTAAACTTCGAAAACTAGTTAAAGACATAAAGGCAATGACTGATTAATGATTATTCAATCAGTGTGTTCTATTTGACATGTATACTAATGTCTGATCAAGGTGAACTCAACCTGTGAAATCTTTATAAACATGTCACTGGCACACGAGGCGTTTACTCATCTTGAAAATTATGGATATGTGTGGTTAAATTAAGGTTAAGATAGAATGTAATGTAATTGAATTGAATGAAATGAATTGTTATATTTTCTATTATTTTCATGATAGAATGTAATGTAATGTAATTAAAATTACTTTCTTGTTGCCTCTTTATCATCTAATACTCAATTTCATATAATATATTTTCATCTAACTTACTTGGATCATTCGGTTAACATTACTTTATTTTCTTCTCATTTTGACTCAGATGTACTTAAAACACACCACTTAGAGTTGCGTTTTTCAACCTGTGTCTCTTCATTAAAATTTCTATATCTCTCTTACTAAATTTACATATAGATGCATTTTTATCTTTTCTCTACCTAAACAAAATATGTATATTTCTAAAATCTGTCAATAAGTTTCTAACTTTATATTTCATTTTAAATGAGTTAAATATTGATGATAATTAATATTATTATCAAATCCCACACTCACTTTCTTGTCTTTACATATCTATCCAATAATTGTTAAGAGGTCTATACACTAACTGTGAAAATAATATAAAATATATATTTTTTACTATTTACCCTTAATAAATAGAGTTTTTGAGAACTATGAATAAAAACCAATAAAAAAGTAATATACATTTTAAAATTTTAATAATAAAATGTGATTAAGTTCAATAATAAATAAAAGTAAATTTCATGTTATAACATTTTTTAAAAATAAATTAAAACACAGATAAGAGCACGACTTGGGGCTGGGCAAGGGAAATGAGGTCAACAGTTCATATTTCAATTGGAGGGCAAATAGGTAATTTGAAGTTGGCCCGCTTTACCTTTTACGTTCAAGGCCCAATTTGCTTAAAAGGTAAAATTTAAGTGGGCCTCCTCACTATCCAAGAAATAAAAAGTAGGGCTAGTTCACAACTCAAATGGGCCAAACCCGTGAACCACCCGAAAAAACCCTTCATATTAACTTAAAAGAACCAAAAACCGTGCTTCGTCCCTCTCGTTGCATAAAAACTAGGGTTTGTAGAGAAGAGGCGCAGCCATAGCAAGAAGCTCGTGAAGCAATGGGTAATTTCCGATACACTTAATTTCTCTCTGTTGTTCTACTTTTTTTTTTAAGTTATGCGATTGAAAGATTGTTTGTGCAGCTAGAATCAAGGTTCACGAGTTGAGGCAAAAGAACAAGGCTGAACTGTTGAATCAGCTGAAGGACCTCAAGGCCGAACTTGCCTTGCTTCGTGTTGCTAAGGTCACTGGTGGTGCCCCTAACAAGCTCTCCAAGATGTAAAAATCGCTCCTTTCCTTAATGTGTTTTTGCATTTGAGGTGTTTGTGTTAATGTCTTTGTTTTGGGGTTGCAGAAAGGTGGTGAGGTTGTCGATTGCCCAGGTTTTGACTGTGATTTCTCAGAAGCAGAAAGCTGCGTTGAGGGAAGCTTATAAGCATAAGAAGTATTTGCCACTTGATCTGCGCCCAAAGAAGACAAGGGCTATTCGCAGAAGGCTTACTAAGCACCAGGTAATCCCTTCTTCTCTGGTTTAACCCTTTTGTTCACCATTCAATGCAACGCTTTACTCACTCCTAATCACATGTGCTATAGTAGTTTTTCGTTTTAAAATTTAAATAAATTAATTAACTTTATTAATAAAGGCTTGCATTTTCTTCATTTTTTTATTGATTAGCTGTTCTAGTTTGATTGTCAGTTTTGTGTTGTATTAAATTCTCCATTTCGCTACTCCCATTTTTGTTTCCCTTTTTTTTTTTTCAAGATTTACCTGTATATTGTTAGAATTTGTTATCCCATTACACCCTTGTAGCACTGTTTATTTGTTTTTTTTTGGGGGGGTGGGGGGTGAAGGAACAAATTCACGACGCTCTAATTTTGGTGTATTCTATTTAGCTGACGTCTATCTGAACCAAATGGTTGGTTAATAGAATTAGGATGTTTGTTGATTTTTGAGATTGGTAGTTATCCCCTCCGTTATACTTTGTTATATACTAGTCTGGTGAGAATTGAGATAGAGTTCTAGTACCCCTTTTTGTGTATGGGTGCTGCTGAAGTTACTGAATATGACTTCTGATGTCAGAATCTATCGGAAAATGGTTGTCCTTGGGTATAGGGTGCCAGCAGTTGACCCATTCACATCATCTTTCGCACTGAAATATGTTTTATGGATACCATTAACTTTCAAACATGAGTTTAAAACAACCTTGATTAGGATTTATACAAAATCTTGCTCTTAACATCATGGACACACCCTCTTTTTTTAATTTTGATAGAAACAAACAAAAATTCCACAATTTTTCCAGTTATTTATTCCTATATATGAAATTTGTCAGAGATAAATGGAGGAGTATACAACTAGTTTTTCTTAGATTCCACAATATAGATTATTTTTTTAGCTTTTGCAGTTTTTATATACTATTTTCAGATTGACGTGATTGTGGAATGATTTATTCTTTTGTAATTGTTTCGCATCTATATTTGTTGGAGCTGGCCAACATGTTATTGCTCCTGAGATTCGTAATTTCTTTTTCATGCAGGCATCATTGAAGACTGAGCGGCAGAAGAAGAAAGAGACGTATTTCCCAATGAGGAAGTATGCTATCAAGGTGTAACATTAGAGCAATCGTATCTTTTAAATGGACTTTTACATCCGTTTATACTTGACAAGTTTTGATACATCTCATTTTGTAGTTTTATGTTGGAATTATTGGTTATGTTAAATTTCATGTCTTAGACCTGGGGTCTCTTTCTTGAAGCTACTAGTATTTATGTGGATTGTTAGTTTCTATCTTTAATATGGGACTGGGATTTCTGCTGATTGTTAGTCTACAAGTGGATTTCTTCTAAAAAGGGAAGAATGCTTTAAATTCTTGCCATTTCAATTATCGACGTTTTCATCTACAAATTTTCTGTACACTGATATTTGAATCTTTAATCTCACCATATCCAGCGCAGCTTCTTATGGCTACTTTCAAATTATTTCAATATGTTAAGTCAAACAAATGACTATGAGAGTAGGAAATTATCCTTCCCTATTTTATTTAATACTTTTATATTCGTATAATTTTGAATAACCCTGTAAACCTAATATTGATTTTGTTGATAATAGTACGGAGTACGCATCACTTTACATAAACTTTTCGAATGAAAATGTCTGGTGCATTGGTCTTAATTTACCTTTTTTCTTACATGTTTTTATATTCTTAACGAGTGGTTTATTTTATAGGATTTTGTTGACTTTAGCTTTTAAAAGTTGAGTTTAAGTATTCATAACTAGAAAACATTTATGAAAAAAGTATGCAGATATTATATTTGAAGTTATAAAAATACAACAAAAAAGTTTTAATAAAATTTTACTATTATTAGTTATTTTATAAATGTTTTTAGTTGAGAAATTAGAGATTGACATTGAATGTTGTCGTGCGTATAAGTAAGGATATTAAAAGTGGGGGGTTGAATTTGTGTATTTACAATTTATATTTTTTAATCTTACTATAGTTTATGATTCTTAATTGAATTGAGGAAACTAGCTAGAATGACTATATTGTTACGTAGAACTACGTTGTAAAGACGTCTGAATGTAAGTGTTTTAGACCAACCTGACTTATTCGATGGTTGAGTGGGTTATTTACATAAATCCGAAAGTGTTACAGTCCAATTTTACTCAATTGATGGTTGAGCGGGTTGTTGACATAAATCCAGGGTCAGCTTTGTCCGGCCCAATTCTCTTATTTATTTATTTTTATTTTTTGTTACATGTCTGAATATAAAGGTAATATATATATATAATATTTTTTAACTTTACCCGTGATCCAAGCACTACGACAATTGATGCGCAAAAGAATGGCACATACCGAACATAAAAACATCATGGCACTAATCTCTTGTTCTCGTTCAGACCATCCAAACTCCTTCCAAATGATTTGATGACAAAGTGACATAAAAGAATAGGAATGTTTCCGGGAATTAATGTATCCTTTTCAAATTATCAACTCAGAAAAAGCGATCTTATTTTCATACTTCATATGCTTGGCGTGAAGTCAAATGTCAAGAAAGTTGACAATGTGAATTTAGTACACTTGGCGTATAGAATTCTCTTGCTCGATCACCACTTGTATAAACTACGAAAATAAATTTAATAAAAGGGCACGGAAGACCTCAAAAGTCACAGCTAAATATTCCAAATTTGAGTAGCTTCCGACACTGAAAATGAATTCTTATTCGCGACAGGTATAAATACCAAAATGCCAAAGTGTCAGACCAACAAAGTTGGCTACGTTCACAGAATACAATAATTATGCTAGTACTACTCGAATTAAAAGAGCGGAAATTTGAACCTTTTCTCTTGAATGTATTTGATGTTATGTCAATGGTGAGTGGTGACATAAACCCGCAGTGCAATGAATTTAGTTAATGACCACATTGTCTACTGGCCTACAAATGGATTGCCAACCTGTAGATAACTGTAGGACTTCTCTGAGAGAATGTGCAGCTGCTTCCATCGTCCAAGTTTGATAATATTCACTAGGATGGAACATGGATTCTTCTCTGTATTCTGTTAGTAAGCATGGTTGAGCACCATTCAGAAACATGTCACCTTCAGATATTACGAAACCAGACTTCTGCTCTTCCTTATCTGCAGCCTAGGGAACCATTTTTATCACAAACATTAGTAACCTCCGGGGTATAAACTATTAAGTGCTGTCCAATACGGCTGATCTGAAGGGTAAAAACCAATTTTTGGATCGCAGAAATTAAGTGGGCGATAAATGGTAATAGTACACAACTATGTATTTGCTAAAACGATATAACGAAATTGAATATTTCAAGAAGTGTACAATTATTTATATGTCTGGACTTCAGACTGATCCTAAGAACAATATTAATGACTCATAAACTGAGACATTAGAATGGGTAAAATAAACACTCCTTTTTTGGGTGACCTTTGGGTTTTAGAGATGAAAATTTGAGAAGGTAATAGGCAATGAAGGGCCCAAATTAACTCTGATAAAACAGAAAACGTGGAGTGAAGAGGAAATTATTTACCTTCTCGGTATAAAATTCGAAAGTTTTTTTCTTAGCTCCTGCTTCATATATGTTGCATTGAGAGTATATCTGCAAAATGATTTCCAAGAAATCAATCATTTCCTCATTACCTAGAAAATGCAAAGGAAACTCAAAAGGCTGAGCATGATAGCAGCACACTCACCTGGGATTCAACACTAGCACAAACAGCATATATTCCCCAGTTTCTGGTGTAATTGTTGTACAGATGAACTTTTCCAAATCTCACACGAGGCTGCCTTTGCCGTGTTCCATCAAAGAAACAATGATGAATCGTCACACGGATGCACCTATCGCCAACATGAGACGGGTCAGCTCCAATTAGCATGGTCTTGTCATGCTGTGCAAAGTAACACCTGATGCCACAATCAAAGTAACCCATTACAACACAGCACATTCAATCAATCACCGTTACAGTTCACAATTCAGTCAAAAAACGAGAAAACAAACCCACCTAGATATAGTAATATCGGTGCTTTGCCTAGTAATGTCTATGAGGCCATCATCGTAATCACGAAGACTGCATCTATCTATCCATATATGCCTAGAATTTGGTTTAATTTGAATGCCATCCACATCATGACCCCTACCACCCTCAAACTCAAGGTTGCAAATGATGATGTGTTCACATTCTTTCAGCCTCAAACCCTTGCCAGTGAATTTTATCCTTTGACCTCTGCCATCTATTGTCTTATAAGATGAGACACTGAGGTACGATGAAAGATGAATTGTACCTGAAACCTCAAAAACAATCCACAGAGGTTCCTTTCTACGACATGCATCGCGAAGGGACCCAGGACCGTCATCTGCAAGGCAATGGACGATTTCAAACATCAATTCACCGTAACAACTTCAATTTTCTAAAGAAAACGCCGTTAATTTTGTTGAAATAATCCTAATTATAATTAGGATTGATTATTGTCTTAAATTAAATTAAATTAAATTGACCTGCAAGGGTTGTGACGAAATAGAGAGAACCGTGGAGACCACCGATGGAGTGGCGGCCGAAACCCTCGGCGCGACCGGCCAGGGCCCTCAAACTCGAATCAACATCACCGTATGGTAGCATCCGCGCCATTTTCACCCTCCTTCTTCTTCAATTCCTCGTTTAACTGTTCCTCTTTTTAGAACAATTTTTTTTTACAGGAACAAAATTTAGGTGCTCTCAGCCTCGTGGAGTTATTTTTTAATTAAAATTAAACTATATTAAATCCATATTTTATATTCTCAATTTAGTCATAAATTATTACGTAATAAAAACTATTTTTATAATCATTAATATAAAAATATATTTATCATATATTTTAATTAATTTAAAATGTACAAAATGAAAATATTAATTAATGATATCGAGACTCAATATATATATATGTAAAATATATTATATATAAGATGTCAAATTTAAATATTTACATGATAATAAAAATAATATAAAATAATTTAAGTAGTTTTTAAATTTAACGTCTATATCAATGAATTCTATTACGAACAAAAAAATTATTCATTAAATAAGAATGGATTTATATGTGAGCAATAATACATAAAAATAAATAAAAATAAATATGAGTATAAGTATTATAGTACTTATTTTACTTTATATTTGTAAAATATATTATTAAATTATACTCATTAAAATTATATATATTGTCTCCGACATTTTAATTATTTTAGCTATATATATATATACTTTAGAAAGTACTTAAAAATGAAAGCTCACGATTTTTTTTTATTACGATTAAATTGAACTTAATTAAATAAGTTTATTTCGTAAATTTTTAATTAAATATTTTATAATTACAATATAAAGTAATGTTTTTGTGTCTAACTGCATATAATGAATATAAATATAGGTATATGAGCTTATACTTTATAAAGATTAGAATTAAAGGAGGTAGACTGGTGAATGAATATGGGCTTAAATATGTAATACGCGTGGATACTATCCCTAATGTTGAACATTAATGTAAAACTACTCAATTTGAAGGATATTAAATGAGTTTATGGGTAAAATATGATATCTAAATCCATGTTAAAGTTTAACTATTTCAAATCTTTAACTTTCGGAATGTAGCTAAAAATCTAAAATTGAGTAAAAAGATATTTTAATTTCCTTTCCTTTAAAACATTAAAAAAAATGCATATTAAAGGAACTTTCCCCCTCCTCTGTTTCATTGCAACTTAATTGTTGAATACATTTACCGTCTAATTTAATCATGCAATTTCTGTGGAAACATTGATTGATATCAGGTCAATTATGAGGGTCAGAACTAATCTTTCAAAATAGTTATATGATATTGCCATCACATATCACAATCAAGCTATTATATAACTAAAGAGATAAGGTGCACTTTGCTGTAAATGGTTTTAGATTTCATGTTGACACTCAACAATCAATATAAAATATTGTCACTCACGGTGCTAATCTCACTCAACTATGAATGATATTAACTCAAATAATATTATGTTACATGAATGATACTTGTTTTAATTATTTTATTATTATTTTTTTAATCCTTAAAACTAAGTTTAAACATTCGTAAATAAAAAAATAGACAAATATTATATTGACGTTATAAAAATATAATAAATATTTATCTTTTTAATAAATTTTTATAATTAACTATTTATTCTTATTCTCAGATTTAAGAGCTGAGGTAAATAAAACTGTTTTATTAAATATCTATATATAAAATTAAATTTTTTAATATAAATTAAGAAATAAACTCTGCCACTTACGAAGTCCAAAATTTACCAAGGGAAAATGGAATTAATGACATCTCAAGTATTCCTTTTATTATTAAATGCATGGTATCCAGCTTGTGGTTTAATACTTAGGTCGAAATACAGCCATTAAAATCATTAAATTAGACAGCAACTTAAACAAAAGATATTTGATCTAGCATTAATGGCCATGTTTGACAATTACTTAGATTGTTTAAAAGAATAATTCAATTAATTAAAAAAAAAACAAATCAGTACTCACTAGAAACACCCACTCTACCTAATGTGGTTGGACAGCTGAAATTAGTATATTTATTAGACGAATAAAACTCTTGCATAAAAGAAAAAAAAATCTTCGAGATTATTTGGTATGTAGATTTTTCTAGTTATATTTTTTAGAATTATATTTTCCAAGATTCATGATTTCTGAGGATGTTATAAAAGTACTTGGTGTGCTTAAAATGTTTTTAAAAATATTTCTATGAATATGAATAACAATTTCTCAACTTTATATGAAATTTATATCATTAATACCTCCTTCATGGAATTTTGTTTTTTTGGAAAATATAGTTAAAAATTGTTCATAAAAATATTACTTTTTTTTTTTTTTTTGCGTTAAAGATTCATGTCAAACGTTAAAAATAAAATTTTTGAAAAATTCTTATCAAATGCCCTCTTAAATCAAAATCAAGTATGTTTATTTTTAAATTAAAATTAATTAACCTCGCAAAACACTTTAATTTAGATATAACGTACGACCTGTGTTTTTTTTTTATTGCAATTTTGTATACTTAAAAAAAACTTTCTTTTTAAAAAATGATATACAATTGTAGATATTGTTAAAGGTACAATATAAAATCATTTAGTCATGCTTTATGTTTATAATATGATATTAGAGTTTGTAGCTAGCCTGAGAAAACAAGGTAGATACATTAGGATAGTTGATTTACGACATATATTACATATATTTTAAGCGTGGTATATTACTTTTTAATTGTTATTTAAGTTTATATCAACAAGATTAAAATAATGTTTTTAATCTACGTCCATACATATGATAAATAAATAAATAATTTTTTATTTAAATTTATATTATTTATTGTTATCGTTTCATTTTATTATACAAATCTTGTAATTTCTAATAATGTTTAGTGTTTTTAACACGCTTTAAAATTCATTTAATTTGGCTCTTTTTATATTACTAGTATTTTCTTTCTTTCTTTTTAGTGAAATATATAATTAAAAATAATATTTAATGTCATCTTAGAATTTTAAAGTAATAGATAAATAAATATATTTTAAAATATTTTGTTTATAATATCTTTAGGACTAAATTTAGTATTTAAAAATAACATTTATATTAACAATAATATGATATGTTCAATTAATGAGTTTAACTGCTTATATCTAAACAGTAAATTAGGTTTACCAAAAATTCAATCTTTGGTAAACCTTTGACATTGATGAGTTGACTATATTTTTTGAATGAATAGACGTACGGACTTAAATTAATAGAAGAGGGAGAAAATAGAAATCCTGGATACCTCAATTACAAACTTGTTGGGCGTTGGCAGTTGATCTTTTCATTGTCAACTAGTGTTTATACTAACTTGTATGTAATCTAATTACCTGAATAATATTTTAATCCAATTTAAAATAAATCGTTCAGCAAAATATAATAAATTTACAAAGAATTAAATACTTTTTTTATAATATAAGTATAAGTAACTACTATTATAAAAAAATATTATAATAACACTTATATTAACAAAATTAAAAATTATTTAAAATAAATTAATTACATGCAAAAAAACAGTACAAATATAAATAAAAAAATTTATTATATGACTTTTTAATTTGATTAATTTTTTTAATTAAATTCAATAATATAATGTGATTCATATATATATATATATATATATATATATTAATATAAGATAAATAAAATAAAAAATTTAGATTAAATTTAAGAGTAAAGAAAAATTAGGCTTGTCAAAGGCACCTACTCATGTGAGGCTAAGTCAAGGCATTAATTTGTAGGATAGGTCTATGGTCATTTTAAAATGAAAATAAAGAAGCAAAAGCTTGCAATAGTACAGTACGTGAGTAATGGGTTGCAATAATAATAAAGAAAACTATATAACGTATGGGAGGGGTTTGCATGCTGCTGCTTGTTTCTTCTCAACAAATTGACAGCTGGGAGAGATCCATGCAGATAATGTCCCTCTGTGCTCTCTCTCTCTCTCTGTCCCTTTCTGGCTCCATGCCTTTAAGTCACTTTCTTGTGGCTCTTAATATTCACCTGAATTTTAAATTTCACACACAAGTCATATATACATCAATGAGTTCATACCTCAATTCACACCCCTCATTGGCCGTAATCATCATCTACCAGACATACGTGTATATATGATATGCATTAGACCAGATTCTCCTCCCACATACCATAACCACCTTATTCTTATTGTTTATTTATTAACAACAGATTATCAATAATTATACAAGTTATATAATAAATCCAACATGTGTAAGTGATACTCTCTGTTGCTATAGTTGTTTTATCTTTTCTTTTGTAATTTTGCATCATGTCTTTCTCAGGTTCTGACTGCTAACTAAGTTAATAATAATAGGCATTATTATTGGAAAAATAAGACTTATAAGATTGGAAAAATATCTATTTGAATAAAGATACCTTTCAGAATTAATATAATTTGAGTGAAACTTTGGAGTTTAACGTAATAAAGTGTCTCTAACACAACTAGATTAGTGGAATTTTTTCATAAAAAAATGTTTTTAATATAAATTTACAATGAAAAGCACATCGTGAATTTTTTAATATTTTTTTGAAATATTTATTTATTAAAAATAAAAGTTATATTATATTAATCATGAAAAATTTGATAAATATTTATGTAATAACTCTTTATAAATATTAAATTTTATCAATCTACCTTTAAATAAAACGATATATTTATATTAATGATATAAAGTATAATATCATATTGATATTAAAGTCTTTTAATAACACCACCATACATTTTCTGGTCTCTTTATTTTGGGCAATAATTTCAATAGCAAATAGCCTTGGACATGTTTCTGTTCACAGTATTTTTGGGTATTGTATTTGTAGACACACCTGGCTGCGATAATGCTACAAGTAGCAATCACTCGTTACTCTTAACATAGTATATATCTTTATTACTGCCGGCTCCGTCCTTTTTATAAAAAAGAAAAAAAATAAATTATCAGGATTAAGAAAAATGATTAAATCACTTATGTTTTTTATAAATATAAAATTTATTCTAAAAATATTTATGATATTAAATAGTATAATTAATAATTTATATATTTAATGATATTAATAAAAGAAAGATATAAA